AACCAAACTGGCACACATGAGGACCGACCCAGGAAAGGAAGACCAAGAGTCACCTCTGCTTCTGAGGATAAGTTCATCCGAGTCACCAGCCTCAGAAATCGCAAGTTAACAGCAGCTCAGATCAGAGACCAGATGAATGCCACACAGAGTTCTAGCAGCAGACCCATCTCTAGAACAACTGTTAAGAGGAGACTGCGCGAATCAGGCCTTCATGGTCAAATAGCTGCTAGGAAACCACTGCTAAGGAGAGGCAACAAGCAGAAGAGATTTGTTTGGGCCAAGAAACACAAGGAATGGACATTAGACCAGTGGAAATCTGTGCTTTGGTCTGATGAGTCCAAATTTGAGATCTTTGGTTCCAACCGCCGTGTCTTTGTGAGACGCAGAAAAGGTGAACAGATGGATTCCACATGCCTGGTTCCCACTGTGAAGCATGGAGGAGGAGGTGTGATGGTGTGGGGGTGTTTTGCTGGTGACACTGTTGGGGATTTTTTCAAAATTGAAGGCACACTGAACCAGCATGGCTACCACAGCATCCTGCAGCGACATGCCATCCCATCCGGTTTGCGTTTAGTTGGACGATCATTTATTTTTCAACAGGACAATGACCCCAAACACACCTCCAGGCTGTGTAAGGGCTATTTGACCAAGAAGGAGAGTGATGGAGTGCTGCGGCAGATGACCTGGCCTCCACAGTCACCGGACCTGAACCCAATCGAGATGGTTTGGGGTGAGCTGGACCGCAGAGTGAAGGCAAAGGGGCCAACAAGTGCTAAACACCTCTGGGAACTCCTTCAAGACTGTTGGAAAACCATTTCAGGTGACTACCTCTTGAAGATCATGGAGAGAATGCCAAGAGTGTGCAAAGCAGTAATCAGAGCAAAGGGTGGCTATTTTGAAGAAACTAGAATATAAAACATGTTTTCAGTTATTTCACCTTTTTTTGTTAAGTACATAACTCCACATGTGTTCATTCATAGTTTTGATGCCTTCAGTGAGAATCTACAATGTAAATAGTCATGAAAATAAAGAAAACGCATTGAATGAGAAGGTGTGTCCAAACTTTTGGCCTGTACTGTACATTGGGAAAGATGTCTGGATGGACTTTTTAAAGCGTTAAAACCCCTGTGAAATGATACGTTTCACTTTTGGGATTTAATCCATTCAGCCTGATAACATTTCAAAGTCTAGAGGAGCCACACTGTGCATATTGTGTGGTATCATATGCCGTATAGCATTATGTACCATGCAGCGTGCGGGGTATACATGTGCATGTCACGTGAGATTCTTATATATGTATTATGATGTGTCTGTATCTGATGTTGTGTGCTCCTTTGTGTTAACTGTGGATTGTGTATTTTGTTGTGTTTCATGTTTTATGTTAGAGGACTACAGATGGAAATTAGCCTTTAGCTAAATCTGGTGCAAACATATTTTTGTTTTGTAAACAACTAAAGGACGTGCACGCTGTCCTTTTTATAAACTAAATAAACGAAACTAAACTATTAAATCATTTTATCCCCATTCAAGTTGGCAGAGGGCTAAACTGTACGTTAGCTGCTCAGCCAGCAAAGTCTCTAGTATGCTTGCTCTATGGGCCCAACGATGCATAAAATCCAGGTAGTTTTATACCTAGAAAGCCAAAGTTTCTAGGTATGCCACTGTGCCACTGAAGAACCTCTACTGGAATGAGCTGAGCCCTGCCTTCAAAGCTATATCCAGTTCTCTTTATACATCTAGGGTGTTCCCCTGATTTAAGTCATTGTGCTAGGCTAAGCTAAGTGGCTGGTTTGAGGTTGCTTCATGTTTAGCTTACAGCATAAGTATGCTATCAATCTTGTCATCTAACTCCCCGCAAGGAAGCAAATACAATAATTTTCCAAAATGTCAAACTATTCCTTTAAACCTGCAGTGATGTTTTTGACATTAAATCAAGTGGCTGCATGTCACGTGAAAGTGTTACTTAGGTCAAAACCACTAAAAAAACAACCCAACTCTGCAGCTCTGTGCAGTTTATGGACAGTTTAAATGAACAGTTTGTAAGTGGGAGAAAAACACTGGTTTGCTTTAGAGATAGATGAGTTGAGATCACACATGTACACACACAGACACACACACACACACACGTGCACACACAAAGAGACACCCACTCAAGCACTATTATTCTATGGTTGTTTTTTGTGAGTGTTTCCCAGGCGTAATATGGTGATGGTGACAATGATGTTGACAATATGACCGTCAGCTCGACAAAACATGATCCAGTGTTTTTCCTGTTTTGTAGCAGAGTATTATCACCACATCAGCTTTGTTCCCACCTACGCCTCACCAACACGGGTGACATGCACAGACCTGCTGCTTTGGGTATCTCTGTCCCAGTAGATTTGCAGTACAGCTCACTCTGGGTTTACAGAGGCAAAGTCATTTCCCTGCTCCTTTGAAATATGACTTCAAATTAAATCAAGAACGAGTTCTGGACTTTCTGAATCTGAAAGAGAGAGATAAGAAGGGGGTGGGTAGAGGATCACTGAGTGAGGAGAAGGAAAAGGGAAAAGGAAATGTAAGGGAACCATGGTTGAGGTCAAGGCTTGTGACAGTCGTTTAACAGAGGACGTTGCCCCTGTAGTTTTAACTCTGACTTATCAAAAGCCATTTCACAACTTCAGTCTCTACAAATTTCTCCCATTTGTTGCAGTAGTTGTGATACTGTCTCCGAATGCCATTATCAGTTGTTTGTGTGTTTTTCCACAGTGAGAGTATTTTCTTCTAGAGAGCACAGCTGCACAAGTGTTTGGCCAAAAAACACTTTTGTTACACTGTATAAGCTGTTGGTGTCCAAGTGTTTCAGAGGCCTTCTTCATAGAGGACATGTTGACATGTCACAGTAGGAAAAGCACAGGTGTAAATAACACATTTAATGGCTGGTTAATGATAATGTCAGGGTCCTGGTGTTGTGCATGCTGGCTCACTGTCAGACTGTTAGAACTTACTGGGACACCTGAATAAAACAGCCATCGTTAGTGTTATTAACAACATCTGTACTTCTCCTACAACAAGTCAATGTAACTACAATGCAGCCCTTAGAAATACACAATTAATATTACCATAAAACTTCAATTCAAAGCCTGGTCCCAATTAAATGTCCAGTCTCTTTTACTAGCCCGGTGTAGCTACATATTTTGACAAATAAAGGCATAAGATAAGATAAGATAAGATACACCTTTATTGAGCCCATAATTGAGAAATTCCAGTGTTACAGCAGTCAAGGAAAAAGAGTCAGATTAAAGATTTCAAAATTAGACTTAAAAAACTTAAATAACTAGGCATGCAAATAAGTACAAAAATCCAAGAGTCGACGATAAATAACAATAACAATAATAATAATAATGAAAATAATAGGAAGTGGATAATAATGAGCAGAAGTGAATGAAAATGAGCAGTGGATAAAGGGAGCACATCTAGTGCAAGTGCATGTCTCAATTAGAAGACCAGTCTGGTTGCCAGGCAGTTCATTTTTATAGAACAACCCACTTGAGCTAATGTTAGTTAGCAGATTAGATTGCACATATAATATAAATGTTTAAACAAGATGCTACACATCGTTAGCTTGGTTGATTTCATTTTACTGAAACCATGAGCACCAGAGAAGACCTTTACTGGCATGACGAAAAAGAAAGTCCCTTCATCTGAAGCTGTCGTAAAGTCAGAATATGTGTCCATTCCTCGATTACCTGGTAAATTATTTATACTCCTTTAGTTGGTAAGGATCAATCAAAGGAATCAAAAGTGTTTCTTTAAAAATGAATCCAAGTTATAAGGATTGTTTTAACAGGATAAAGTGGTGTTATCTTTGGGTGCCATGAAACATGTGTCATAACATAACACATAATTGATATGCTATTTAAAGCCTAAACAATTAGATCATATTTCCCATCTTCACCGAGCAACAGTTTAGTGTAAAAGGAATTAAAGGCCTGTCCCATATAGACACCTGTCCAAAATATAGGCCTGTTGAGTTCAGTGACTTAAGCAAATAATAGCCCTGGCTACGAATTAAAATTTTACAGTATTATCATCATCATCACCATCATAACATAATAATAATAATTACATAGCTGTATAATAGCTGACCCCACCCCCTGCACTGATTTATCCTTCTATTTAAGGGATCTGACACCATTTTTGTTCATAACAAATTCATAATGAGCCTAGCAGATCAATGAGCCACTGGCAACATGAAGGGGTGTTTAAACAAAGCATGAATGAATGCTTCATAAATGGCCATTGTTTCCCCTTCAGATAATCACGTGTGATCCCCGTTTGCCAGATTTTCAATCCAGGCCACTGCTCCATCACCTGGTGTCACATAATGCAGCTTCCTGTTTGCAGCACTGTCGCCTGGAGGAGTTCTGAGACAGAGCAGCCATTCAGCTGCTGCTGCTGCTGCTGCTTCACTTCCAGTGGCGCTGCTGCTGCTGCTTCCAGCTTGGCACTTCTGTGTTGGTATCGGATTGCATCACACTACCTGAGTGAGGATACGTCCTCCATCCGTACACACACACACACACACACACACACACACACACACACACACACAGCGCACCAACCGGCGTGTAGGTGCTATGACATCACTCTCCCGTTACTCCAACAGTCAACCGGGAGTGTTAGGGCGCGAGGCGGTTCGGATGAAGTGATGGTGTTTCCTCTTAGGTTTGTTTAATGAGAGTAAAAATAAAATAAAACTGTTGCAACTCTCTTTTTAAAATGTTACTATTCAATTTGTTATAGTGAGTTTAAGTGACACATACGGTAATTAATGACAGTGTAGTGCATTTATCCAGTTTTGAATTGTCTCGCGCGTTTGTGACCATTTGCCTCTCAGAACTTCCATGTACATGTATCCCTTTCATATTTATAAAGGCTTCTTCAAAAAGTTGTAACAGTTGTATGATAGTTACTTTTGTCGCGACTAATAGACTATTCAAAGACAGACTGTTACTCACCACCTTGGCCACTTTGGCGCTTGGACTCCATGCCGTTTGATACTCGAAGTCTGAGTTCTTATTTCCGGTAGTAATCCCTCGGTCGTTTCATTCAAAAGTTACGGCTGTGAACATGTAAGGCGTGTTCAGCCCCAGACACAGCCCAGCTCTGTCAGCCTCCGTGCGGCAAAGTGAGTCAGAGTGGCCGCTACAGTTTATAGTTTGACTCGGCAGCCGCTGGTTCATCATCCGCAGCTCCACTGGGTCCTAATGCTAGTCTCGACAAGTTATACTACACACTGGGATAACCGCACATTTTAAAGCTATGACTCTAAAGAGACACATACAGAAGCCTCCTTAGTCACATATGAGGAGACGTTATCCCCAGTATGGTGTTCATTAGTGTATTCATTGTTTGACGTCTAGTGGTAGAATAAATCTGAGGCACTTTTCCACCTCAATGCAGAGTGAAATATTGTAGTCCACTACCTTTTATCTGACAAACAGCATACAGACTTCACAGAATCAGACTTTAAAGAGTTCTCAAAATATAATGATGCAACAGTACCCTATTTAAAGCAGCACCTAAGGCAGTAAATTACCCGTAAAATTAACAGTTAAATGACATGACATTGGCAGTATTTTTTACTTTTGATACTTAGGCTAATGTTATGTAATTTTATTGAAAATTTGAATTCAGGACTTTTACTTACTGGAGGAATTTTACATAGTGGAACCTTTATGTAAAGGGTCTGAATATCTCAACTTCCACTACTGCCTCCAAGTAGGTCTCATATGGATATACCAGACTGTATACAGTCTGTAGCAATGATTTCCAGTGGGTCATAAGATTAACAGGAGAGAATCAGTCAATAATTTTGCATCCTCAAACACCTAAAAATAAAACAAAAAAAAGTAACTTTTTGGTTGAACTGGTGACAATCAAGGACAAGGCTTCACATTTCGACAGTGCTTTGTTTAACCTACTGTTTTGTGCTGCTGAACATGGGCCGTGTTAAAGGTGAATCATGAGAGTAGTCATCAATTAAAGGAATACTTCACCTAAAAAAATGACAATTGTCAATTAGTTGTGGCACGTTAGCTTGAATTTGTGAAGAAAACATTGTTTTTCTTGCATGTATCCACAAAAAAATGGAGGGCATTAGGGATGTCAGTTTAGGTTAATTTTCAAAAGGCAAAAACCCATTAACCGGTAACTAACCGAACATATTGATTTATCGAGTGATTGGAGACCACTTCCAACAACAGCAAAACTAAATGAAAAAATCTGTTTACAAACTCTCGCACAACTCATGCAGAATAATCTCATGTATCCAGTCATATGTTCAGTACTTCCCAAACACATGCATTTTCGCTCAAACTGAACTAAAAGTGAATTTTATATGATCCTGCCAGACTCCAGCACTTCTTTAAGTGAAAATACACACGTTTGCGAAGGACTGAGCATAGGACTGGATAACTGAGTCTTGGATTAAACTGCTCGAGTTGTGTGACAGGATGTTTTGATTGTGTTTTGTGTTGTTAAACATGGTCCCTAATCAATCAATAAATCAATACACTCACCAGGGATGTCAACGGTCAAACAGTAATAGGTTAAACAGTGCAAATATTTTTGACCAGTTACACATGTCAGTCTATAGGCTGATGTTGCTTCTCTATGGTTTACTGCACACCACCCGACTCTGGTAGGAGCTAGTTAGCATGCCGCGCCACTCATTCGGCCATTACAATTAGTAACACCATCCCTTACTACATCCATGGTTTCGACCCAACAGCAATGCTATGGAAACATTCTGGTCACCCTCTGGTCTCACCCCAGGCTGTCCCATCTTAATTTTGAGCTGTAAAACCCCTTTAGCATTGTTGACAATGTCACCAGCATTAGCAGTGTGAGCACTGCTAGTGGTGCTAACATAGTAAACAATAGCAGAATGTTAGAGCTCCCTCCTGAACCAAACAAGTGGAGACCAGAGCTGGTCTGTAACATAAACTGTGTTCCATGGAGGCATGTGAGAAAAACAAAGTTTTCTTCAGGAATTCAAGGTAACATAGCACGACTAACTGATTTACAAATGGTCATTTTGTGGGTGAAGTATTCCTTTAAATTCTGAGCTACCTCAAATTACATTATGGCTCAGAATCAAATTACAACAATGTCCAACATTTCCAGATATTCTTGGAAGAACCACTTGGATCCTCTCAAGAATCTGCTGACCCAGAAACTACAAGCCTGAACCAAAGCAGCCTGTTCAATATCCCAGCCACCGTCATGTGCTGCACATTTAGGGGTCATGAAAAATAACAATGAGGACGATACATGATAAAATAGTGATGATTGACTTGAATCATTTATTCCAAAGTTGTATTGACAGACAAGGCTTTGCAAATTAAAAATGGTACTCCGATAAATAAAGAATAAGTTAAACACATCTAATGTGGTAAATGTGCTTTGCTGTATCGTTGAAGATCCATAACCCCACACACACATATTCACACACACCTTCAGTTCCTGTAACAAAGAGCATTATCTTATCTTTTCAGTTCAAACTATCCTACACCTTCTCATCCCATCAAACTAGTTTCAGCGCACACCTTATTAATCTCAAACTCAAATCCTTTCTTTACAATTTACTTATGTGACACTTGCAGCCTCTTGGTAAAACTTTCTTTGTCACTGCTTCTTTACTTTTTGCATCTTTCTACAGTATGTTACCTCATCACACATTCCTTCATGTTACTTCCTCCTTTTCTCCATCCTTCATTCCCTCACCTCTTCATATTTCCTTCCTTCATTTGAGCATTGTTTTTTCTCTTTACTCAGAGGGTCTGAATAATCATCCACAAAAACCTCCGTTCGTCATCTGCTGTAATCACACACACATGAACATGACTCAGTGTGGTTTAATTGTAATCCAGCAGCTAAAATTCTGAGCTGATTCACGAGTTCAGCTGCAAGTATGAATTGACAAAAATGTGGATTTCTTAAAATAAAAAAAGCAAAACACAGAGATCTTATTTTGAAGTGTGTGTAGTTCTAAAACCTGATTTCTATGACACAGTCCATCCACAATAAACCTTACGATCACATCATATCTCAAAAACCACTTCAGTGACCTGTACAGTCTGCTCGTGTCATAACTCTAAACACTGATATGGCTTCAGAAAACCTGACATCAAAATAATAATTACATGCCAGTATTATAAAAAGAAACTTTGGGTTTCAGTATTTGCACAATATTAAAAAAAAAAGTGTGCGTCATGTTTAGTAACCCTAATGTTAATGAGAGTCACACTATTCTCATCAGTTTATAAGTTTCAGATGATGATAGTGTCTGTGTGATTCAAACTGGATCCATTTTACCTCCAACAATATGCCAGTCTGTCTTCCAGGCAGCCAATTTACTTCCCAAACTGTCTCTTAATTTTCAGTATGAATTCAAGTTTGGCACAGTGTGGCTGACCCTCAGTACATCAGCTTACAGTCCACCTATCCTGGTCATGTATCTGACTGCCACCCTGGTGCTCTTGTTACCACACTGCCATCTGCTGGTAGGAGACAGGGAAGCAGCCAACTCCCTCAACTGATTAGCTTTCTGTCTGTTGTAATCTGGAAGTGGCTCATCTGCTGCCTCTCAAAGTCTTCATGATCTCCTTCCAGTTCTCCTTCCTCTCCTTCCAGGTTTTTTTGGCTGGCTTCATATATAACGCTTAACAAGTCCAAGTACACACAAGATCAGGAGGCCAACAACTCTGCTTTGCCACCTAACAGGAGGAAAGAGTTTCATTCCTGCCAGTTCCTCTTCCACTGAGATACAGAATCAGTCAGGGTTAGCAGGCCTCTGTGGAGGCTACGTTTCAGAGTACACTGTTGGCGGTGGACCTGCATTGGGTTAGATGGTTGTTGCTTCATTTTCTCAGAAAAGTCGGACCTGTTTCTTCAGTTCGTTCTTCTTCCACTGAGCGAGACGATCAAAGGCAGACATGGACATGCCAAAGACTCTGTGGAACTCCTCTGGTGAGAGGTGACGCTGGGAGGAGAGAGGAGACGGCAATTTAGAGACGATAAGTCAATGTATCTACTTGCTTATAGGCTTCAAATAGCTTCGTCAAAGTATTCCTGTCTGTTTCAGAAATGATTTTCATCAACACTTTTGGACATGGCTCTTTGGATAAAAATTCTGGCCTATCTGTATTTTCCTTATACTCTTATCTGTCCTTATAACACGGTTATTGAAGTAGATTTTGTAAAAGAGTCCTGAAGCAGTTTACCTCCAGTCTGGCTCGGTCCACATCACTTGGAAGACGTTGCTGTCCTCTGACTGATACTATTAGGGCTTCATATGGGTAGATCTAATACACACAGAGACATAAATATAATCAACTTCCTGCAACAAAATGCACCATTGAGGCTTTGGCCAACATATGAATTACATTTCAAAGACTAAGCATGGTTCCCTGAACACTGAAACTGTAAATTTACTTGCAATCAGATGCTCCTTTGAGGGACTTTCACTCGTGATGTCATTATTTATTTGTGCATGTCATAAATTGTTTACCAAGGAAGTTTATTCACAACATGATTCAAATGCACCACTAAAAAAGTCCCAATCAACTTGTATTAAATGTTTCAGCACCATAAAAACAGGCAGACTGAGTTTCATTACCTCTGTCACCCTCTAGTGGCCGAGAGCAGCACTGACAACAATGCTGCTTTTGGTTAAAATAAATTAGAAAAATTGATTAAGTCTCTGTTTGGTTTAGTGTAATTATTCATGCAGATATAAGTCTCCCACTGAGGGAAAGATTAGGAAATATCCTTTTTAATAAATAGAGGAGAAAAATCATTGTTTATTTTTTCAGAGTGTCGACCTCAAAGTGATGAAAAATTGTTCCCAACTGTTTCCAATCACTCACAAAATGACAAAAAAAATATTTTGGTTTGTAAATCAGTTGTTGGACTTATAAAAGAAGTGTGTTCAAGCATTCCTTCCAACCCATTCCCATTATTCTTAAAGGAAGAATAATAATATGAGATGTAGTATAACTACCATTTCCACAAAATTCCAATGAAGCTGCTGAACTTGTTTTCAAAATCCTGTAAATGTTTTTTTTTACTTGGCTGTCAATAAAATGAGTCAGTCATCTTCACATGTGGGTGTCACTGAGTGAGATGAATTCACCATTCAATATGAACTTTAAAAGGGCAACACATCATCCTTATCTGTTATCTATTGATCCAGACTTTTCACTCTTGGTTCAGTAACAGTCGTCTAGCTTTGGCAACAGCATCTTACCTTGTACTCTGAAAGAGAAGGAGAAGAGAAAATACAGTCTCAGTCATGTTCACCATTGTATCTGTCTTCCATCATTATATACACTCTGAATAACTTTGAATGACATGTACCAGACAGGGGAGGTAAGTCAGGAGAAAACTAGAAGAACAGGGGATAATCAGATTTAAACTGTACAATAGGCTTACCTCTGATCTGCCAATTAACTGCATTGCTGCTGTCATACTGGTAATAATCTGCGCTCGCACTCCCAGGCTGCAAGAACACAACAAGAGCAGTTTAGCAAACATGGACTGAGAGATTGTACTTCATTGTTATAATGAAGGGAAGGGATCCAGCAAAGAGACAAAAATCTTCAAATACTGCATCTATAAAAAGTCCCATCAGTGCGCTCTTTCAATATCAAACTGACTACTACAATACAAAGATAAAGCTGCAAGCAGCGATGAATCGGTGCTTGCACCTTCCCGGTGCACTAGAGGTGAACTTGTGTCTGCATTTCTGTGACCATTGGGCACCTGAGCGGAGTGCATGACACAAGGCAAATTTTGCACCATACATGCAATGTGTTGCTGTATATCAAGCCCTAGACATGGCAAAACTCATGTAAATTGAATGTTTGTTACACAAGGCTTACTTCCGGTTTCCAGTAGGTGGTGCTATGACTATAAGTCAGTATCAAAATGTAGACGTCTTCAGGCCTGGACTCAAACTTTGGGGCAGAATGGACAATGTGCATTCAGTATACAACAACGTCCTGTGTCTTGGTAAAACATGCTAATTCACTACAATGACACGGTGATGTTGTTCCACGAATACTGAAAATCTTGCAATGTAGCATTGCAAAGGTCTTTAGATTGCACTGTCCAAATTTCAGATTGATCTGGTGAAATCCAAAGAAGGGGTTTGTTGAAGTAAAGCGCCTGGAAATGGTAAAAAAAAAAATCCCTAAAATTGCACTCTTTCTTTTGGGTTTACAGCATGGCCCCGAGTGATGTTTTTTTTAAGTGTCAATGTGATACATGTGCCTGCCAAATTTTGTATATCAAGATTGTATATCGAGTTTGAATTGACTGATTCGTCTGGCATTGTTAAATTAAAACCACCAATCAAAAGTAAACATTGATTTAAGAAATCAGTTAAACAAAAGTTAATGAAAGAGACAATACAGGAGGAAGGATACTAACTGTTACAATTTTTGTTTTTGTTTTCTGTTTCTTAATCCAGAACCACAATCAGTTTAAATCCTGGTACATGTGATAACTTCTGTATATGTAAGGTTTAAGCTATATGTCACTTTGATTAGTCTGTTTTAATTTATAATTTTGTCTAGACTGTCATTGTCAGTCATTGTCAGTCATTGTCTGTATAATTGACATGTTTTTATATTAGAGTTTGTAATGATTTGATTTTTGTGGTGGACCCCAGAAGATTATCAACCGCTGAGGTGGAAGCTAATGGGGATCCAAATAAATAAACAAAAAAATAAACCAATGAGTGCTGCACAGGAACTCAAATAGCCAATCAGTTCTATGGGTGGAACTAACAAACTAATTATGTCAAGATGTTGTCAAGCGTTGTCAAACATTGCCAAGCAGAGCACCAGAACCAGTAAGGAGTACTGTAATAAACAACAATAGCAAGCACTACAGACAAGACAGACACTGCTATCCAGTGTGTTCTACATCACTATGTCCTCCAGACATCATGGATGGTTTTACTTTGCTCTACTCTTAACAGGTATGTTGGCATGGCTATGCATCAGTGTGAAATTAAAATGACATTAGATTCAGGCGGATACGTTGGCCTTCAATAATTGGTTTGGGAAAATCAAATTGCTCTCCTCCATGGAAACTGGTGGAAAAGCAGATGTCACACTGAAGACGGAAATGGAGTGTAACGACTTGACAATTCTGTCTGATATCAAACAACACTGTGTTGGCTTCTTTGTTGAAATTTCAAAGGTGGTGCTGTCAAGCCCCCTTGGCAAACCCAATCACAAATATCACATTAGATAACACATTTAAACACTTCTGCTGCATGTGCCAAGTTTCATGACTTTAAAGCACCCCTAGCCCCTAAAATACTGCTTCCTGTTTCAAGGTTGGCAACAGTGTTTGATTAAAATGCAAAAGCCTCACTACTAAGTCAAGGTCTTTAGACTTTTTCTACCAAATCTGAGGTAGATTTGGTGAACCTGCTCGGAGCAGCACATCAAAGGAGAAATTATTAGTTTCTGTCTCAGTTGGCCTCTGGAAGGAAACTGATACAAATGAGTTTTAAGGGTTGAGCGGCAAATGAAGGACTTTGCCATAGCTTACGATTTAGTGAATGGCCATGCCTGTCTTACTCTCTCTCTGTCACACACACACACACACACACACACACACACACACACACCCAGTAAGCACGATTGCTTACCCTGTTAAGTCCATTTCTGCCGTAGCCTGGCAACGAGGACGATTTGGCAATGTATGAGTCTGGAAGAACAAATATAAACACATAACCATAAACAAACACGGAATTATACAAAATAATACATGAACTCTCAGTTTGTGAATGAGCACAGCATACTATATCTTTATACTGTCTATATACTGACAGCTGCTGAAGGATTAGAAAAGGGTTTCCAACATCTTTGTCATACAGTTAGAGAATATCACACTGGGGAAACAATCTCTCCCGTTTGGTATGAGAATTCAAAGGAATACTTTGACAGCCTTTTAAAGCTCAAGGCTACCACTGCCTCCCAAACACCCACCTGACAGACTCCTGACAAATTAAGAAATGTGGCTCAGATGACTCAAAGATTGGCAAAACCAGATTGACGTTTTTATCATTCAGATGTGTTGCTCCAGCCTCTGGCTCTTACATTTACTCCCTGAGTAACGGAGTAATGTGATATCACTACTGCTTCCCCTCACCATTTTATACTTTAATATAAACACTCTACTACCACATCGGCAACATTAATCTTTTCTAATACATCCTTCCTTTGCTGTCACTCCTTCAGCATGGTTGCATCTCTCAAGTAACCATTGGTAACCACCAGTATCATTTGGCAAGCCTTTATTTGTGTTGTGCACTGCTTCAGCAGGAGCAGCAGAGGGCAGTTGAGTCACAGCAATCCTCTCGAGTCATTCTCTCTCACATCTACTTTCACTTGGCTCTTCTTCACTATCTTCATTTCTTGGCTTCATCATTCATTCTTCCTCAGTCTTTTGCTCATCTCCCTCCCTCCCTCCCCTCCCCTCCTCTGCTTTCTTGCTCTGCCCTCTTTCTCCTCTCTTTTAGTCTTTCTCTCTCTCTCTTGTTCACTCTGGTGTTGAAGGGAATTAAATTACACAGTAATGTCAAAGAGCCGGGATGAAACACCATGATGCAGAGGAAAACTGGCCGGTGTGTGTGCGTGTGTGTGTGTGTGTGTGTGTGTGTGTGTAGAGCTACTGTACAGCGTGTGTGAGACGCCAAACTATAATGAGTTTGTCATCTACAACTCTCCCTCTCTCAACAAAGAAATGAGATATGGCCTCGTAGATTAGCGGTGGTGTGAGTCTCAGGAATATAGTTGTTTCATCAAAGTGTGCCCTGATGCCAAATGTTGTGAAAACTAATACCCTAAGCATCTCATTTATCAATGTCTTTATAGTACAAGTGCTGGCCTGAAAGCTCTGCTGCCATTTAAATCATCGCAGTTAAGGTTTAAGAGCAATTTGCAGTTATTGATCGGTTATTCTCTTCTAACGGCATGACCACGGCAATTTATGAATGCAATTCTGTTTTATTTTATGATGTTCAAAAACATATTTGGAGGCCATGCTGGAATGTTATTAGGTTCAAATCAATGCAGGAGCACCAAAAAGATGGTGAAGAGATCACCAGATAACAAAGTGTGTGCATTTTACAATATGCAGCTGCATAACAGGCGTTTAAAGGAGCAGTGTGTAGGATTTAGAAGCATCTAGCAGGGAGGACAGCTGACAGTTCTCCCATGTGCCAAGCATGAACTCCTGGTTAGGATTCCTTCAGTGTTCATTGTTACAAGATTTTAACCAGGAGCTGAATTTATGAACACAGATCTCCTTGTCTACAAAACCAACATACCAGGGGTATCATTTATAAACATTGCATACGCACAAAACGAGGCCTAAAAGCGGTGTACGCCACTTCCCACACAAAAGTTGTGATCTATAAAAACAGACTTGATGGGAGAAGCTCTGACCCATGCCTCCGAACATTTTGGAGACGGGAAATTGCTGATGCAGATGGTGAGGTGGACGCCTGATTGCTGAAATTGTCAAATATGCTATTTTTCGCTTTTGTCCGTATGTACATTTTTAGTATGGATCCTACGCACCGTTTTATAAATGAGATCCCAGGTGATTAAAATTGATAAAAACACTGAATTAAACAGTTTCACATTAATTTTTTTTTTATTTTTCTGACGCTGCTCGTTGCAGAGGGGCTGCTAACTACTGCAGCTGATGCAAAAACACAAATGGCCCTATCAAGAACCAGTGTTTGGTTCATCCGCTCTGGCCTACTGTGGAAACATAGCGGTGCAACATGGAGATCTCCACAGGCAAGGACGCACTCCCTATGAAGATATGAAGAGCTCATTCTGAGATAATGAAAACACGATTCTTGTTGTCAGGTAATTATACACCAAAGAAAACATACTTAATATATTTCACTTCTGCCAATATATCCCCCTGAATCCTACAAACTGCACCTTTAAAGGCCAAGTGTGGGCAATATGATCCCATAGATCTCGTGAACACATCTATCTTTACAATCAAAAGTGTAGTGTGTAACTGTGGATTGTGGAAACAGATGGCTGAGGGGTTCAGGTCAGTGATCCTGGATCAGTGCCGCTGCTAAAGAAAAGCTGCTAAATGCGGGTCTAAGCTACAGCGCCATTCATCTTCCTACCTGTAACCATAAAGAAAAAGAGGAGTGTGTGTGTGCGTGTGTGTGTGAGTTGATAACAATCTTCCACTTAAAGCCCTGCCGCTGTCACAGCAGATCCAACAGGATGGAGGGGATCAGAGGGTGCGCTTTGTCCCCGTCCCCTTGAGATGACCTCAGAGATCAAAACGCACTGATGAACCACTCACCGCTGTCTGCGCTGTAGACGGACCTGGGAGCTGACAACAGAGAGATGGAGGGAGACAGACAGCAGGTAAAACACATGGGACATTATATTCATTTCATCACTGATACACCCTGACAATATAAAATCTCTTGCAACAAAAGTTTAGTGTCTTGAGCCCCAAAACTTTGTGATCCTAATCAATTACAATCATTCTACTTCTTGATGAAGCATTAGCAGATGTAAACCTTACTTAAACACTGGTTTTATTAGTGTCACTGTGACTGTGTAAACATGCACAGTATGTGAGACTTTGTTAATTTCATAAACCTGTCACATAGTAAGAGTATGAGGACAAACAGCAAACTGAAATGAGGGAGTTATTTTTTAGTGGAAGGGAAATAAAGAAGGCCAGCTGTTGTGGGACATCTATAAAACATCAGCTGTGTGAAGATCTGCCCCTGACGGCATCAACATGCAGACAAATCACCATCACGACCTACACAACGTATAAAATATGAAGCAGCGTGGCCATGCAGCATCGGGCCACTCATGTTAAAAATGCATATGTTTATGCATCCACCCACTGAACTTTGTAATTTTAATGGACTGTGCTGCAGCCTGGGATTATTTTTCTCAAACATAGTTGCTGGAACAAGACACATGGGATAGGGAATAGAACTTTTATTTTTGTAAAGACTTTTTTATCATAATAATTGCTTAAGTAACAAGTACAGTGAGTGCTGGACGGAGCAGTGAGTGACAACAACCCCGCCCACATTTAAGAGTACTGTTTGCAACTCATCCTGAGGGGAACATGAATGTGTGTACCAAATTTCATGGCGACCCACCTGATAGTTGTTGAGATATTTCATTTGAAACCACAATGTGAACATTGTGGTAGCACTACAGGAAGAGTCAAGTGATCATCAAAGTCAGGGTGATTCATCCTCTGGGATGAATGAATGTCCATGTAATACTTGCTGAGATATTTCAGTCTGGAAAAAAGTACTAGAGCCACTCTGACAGTGCGGCTGAAAGATGGACATAAATCTGTTGCAGTAAATGAAGTCACCAAGTGTCAATTATTTAGTAGGATTACATGTCACTTCTATCAAACCCTGGACATCCCATTTTGGAATTAGCCTCCTCTGAAGAATAGATGAGCACACAACTCTCGGTGCTTTTCTAATCAGTATAATAACACCAGACTCTATAAACCCACAGTGATTACGCAGCACCTAACACCCACATTATCCACACCTCTCTCTGTCTGACCTCCTGAGCACACAGCTCATTTCCTTCTCTCCCTCTCCACCACTCTCTGACCCTGATTTACCTCTTGGCTTCATGTCATACATCTTCTCTGAACAGCTCCAAATTGCTTTAGCTTCTCACTGCCTCTCTCTTTTAAATTTAATTCACTCTCTATCTCGTTGGCTCTCTCTCTGTCTCTCCTGTTATAACACCCTCTCCTTTTATTCCCATCTGACCTCCACCTAAACACTCTCTCTCCCTCTCTCTCAGAGTCTCTCCATCTTTGTCTCGCCCCTAACTCGTGCTGAATGCAATGAGGAATGGGATCAATGGGAGAGTTAATACAGAAGTGGGAATCTCCTCTAACCTTCACCACTGCAGCCCAATCATCAGCATTACCCTGGCTGAAACCTGATCCTACTGAACCTAGACCACAGTCTCAGTCCTCTTACAACCTTAAAGGACCATGTCAGTGTTCACAGGTTTATACTTCACTGTGTTGACAATCACTTTTCAAAGCAGAGCCTACCATAGTTCTTTAGATCAGCTTTTAGCCATGGTAACAGCGTCGCTTTATGGATGGCAATGTCGGGTGTGTCAGTCGACCACTTTGGTTCAGACTTAAATATCTCAACAACTATCTGTTGAATTCTCGTGAAATTCAGTAAAGGCATTTATAGTGGCCAGAGTATGAAGCCTGCTGACTTTAGTGATTGCCTGACTTTTCCTGCAGCTCCCCCATGAGGTTTTGTGTGAAAGGTCTTGACAAGTGTTAAATGGATTGCCATGAAATTTCATACACACGAGTCAGGATAAACCTTTACTATTTTTTTTATTTATATAGCACATTTCAATCTTAAGCACATAGTGCTTTTAACTGTAAAAGATGTACAGAAGAAAAAATTAAAAATCAGAAAGCCATATACGCACTTTCATTCTGGTGTCATTGTGGAAAATCCAACAATAACCTCTGAGCATATTCTAATGATAAAACTAACCTCCTTCTCCCCTGGGCTCAGTTTTCAGGCTGTAGAAAATCCAGCCTGTAATGTCAGACTTTGGCCAATCACAGGTCATTTCAGATAAAGGGCTTTCTTATTGGCTGTTCTACAAACACAGATTCATGTGCACAGAGTCCTGTAGCCCTAACTTCCCATGGGATCAGCAAACTTTCTGTTGCTGCTGTTACACAGGTTACACCCGGCATTACCTCCGTCCACCAGACTGTAGTGACACTCAATGCTGGGGGGGTTTTGATGGCAAAATTCAAGCTGCTACAGCCACCAACTGAGGGTCAGTCTCCCCAAACTATGGCTAGCTCTCCTCCTAGGGAGGCAGTCCACAGTGGCAGGGAGTGAGACCGAAGGACCTTGGGGTGGCTAGCTAGCCAATTCTTGTCTCAAACGCAACTCTACAATGAACTGTACAAGCACGTGCATGTGGTGAGAGGGGGCTAAGAACATAGTATGGAGAGCTGCAGGAGGGTGTATGGTATTTTAAAATGCGCCCCCTTTTTTGTGTTTTCCAGTTTTCTGCCTACCCCAGCTTTAAAAGCTGTCATGGAGTCTGCCCATTTCACACTGAGTGCCATCATCAGGTCAGAATGTAAGCTTTAGCCTCAGCTATACTTTGTATTCAGTGTTAGTTAACATTTCCATGCTCATTTGCTAAACTAGGTTGGTATACCTGCTTAACATCATCATGTTAGCATGATATACACCAATTAAAACAATACAGATGATATGAATAGGCCAAGAAACTGTCACACAGTCATGCCCTATGCAACATGAAGAACATGGAGTAAATATACAAAAATCAACCCTTAGTGACAGATTTGGGAGCTGAAAAAAAACAAAAAAACAAACACACACACTCAGGACTGCAGACTTACAGCCATTGAGAGAGCTGTATCCCAGATTGTTTAGCGCCTCCTTGCTGCTACAGCGGGAACTGCGTCTGCTCCCCCACTGGTCATTGTCGTGACAACCTGACCGCGCCTTCATCTCCTCCTTCAGGATCATCCTGCCAATTCCCTGTGGGGAGCACAGAGAAGGCAGAAGCAAGGGAGAGTGGAGAGGAGGAACAGAAGGATGGGTTAAATAAAGGGACCAGATAGATGGAGCAATAAGGGTTGGTTGAGTGGGATGGATGCAGGGGTGGATAGATGGTGACGGAATAAAGCGAGATAAGACATAAAAAAGGTGACATTTTTGTTTGGAAAGATAGAGGAATGAATTTGAGGCGACAGAAGGAGAGAGGAGCATCACTCTGTATCATGTCCAGTGGGCGAGGATGGAGAGAAGCATTTAATTAAGTAGCTCATTAAATATTAACACACAAACACTTAAAATATAAAAGGGAGAAGCAGGAGAACGTCTTCCTTTCTTACCTTGTTTATATTGTGATTCCATCCATCCTCCTCTCCTCCGGATGAAAACCTCCTCACCCTAGAGACTAGAAGGAGAGATGAAGGAAATAAAAGGCAAAAGGGTTGGGAGGTAAAAGAGTAAATGCAGGTTTCTATACGTGTGCGTGTACAGGACTGTGTGTTTCAGAACAACAGGGAGCAGTACCTTTAGGAGAGCCTGTATATGGGTAGTAGTTTGAGTCTGGGTGATAAATGCTGTTGCAGTTGGAGGTGGAAAGGCGACTTGAATTGAGAAGGTTCTCATTGGTCTTACTCTTATTGACTGTCCGAGAGGCAGATATGTCTGAGAACAAAGACAATAACAGAATGAGAAAGAGAAATCTTACCGTGTATTTTTTTATCAACACAGATTCTCAACACAATTCGGGAACACAGAAGCACTTTTAGGCTGATTTAAATTCCTAAAATAAGAAGGCACTGAGAAGGGAAAAGTCAACCAAGGGACAAGAATGCTAAAACATGTTCTGCTTCAACCAAAATGGCAATTGTGCCTGTTTGTGTGTGCGCGGGAGAAACAAGACGGACAAAGTAGTGCATTTACTTACAAAGAGGGGAGGACACAGCAGGGGGTAGGAAGGGAGGAGGAGAAGGCATCAAAAGCAAGGGAACAGAGAACGGAAAGGAGGTCAGAGAAAATGTAATGGGATATGATGCACAACTTCCAGTGAGCAAGCAAAGTTATCATCGTTTTTTTCTTTTTCTTTTGAGGATGAAAGGATGCAATATGTTGAAGAAAATTGTCAAAGGGGTTTTGTGGCTTTTGTCCGACAGTGAAAAGAGCGAGTGGGTGACATATAACAAAGGTCATATTTCGACTGACGCTGTGGATGAATGAAAGTGACTTTTAGTCTTTGGACAGTCCAAAATTACACTGGACACTAAAAAGCAATCTGTCCACTGTTTGTGTTTTATTCAAAAGGGATTTATGATTTTGTCATTAATTCAAGTCTTTATTTAACTAGGACAAATTCATCATCAGTGTTTCATGTTCGACATGCAGAACAGATGTTATGCAGACATGTTTTGGGCCAAGGCAACCTCCTACACCCTGATCACGACAACATTTTTACATTTAAAACACATTAAAGATGCATTAAAAGTCACCAAAAGAAAAACATCAAAATACATCTGCTTCACTCAAATGCTCTCTATCTTTCTCAGTTGTTCTGTCTGGTAATTTACCCAAACGCCTCTCCAAAAAGTTTGTGTCTGAGCTGCAGCGAGGCTTGACTTTGACATACATTATGGTACTAAATATACAGCATATTTATATATACGCCTGGTTCTGGTGATTTGGCTTAATATGAAAACTGCTCTATAAATGATTTGTGCTGTAAATTCAAATTCACCGACGGAGCCCAGATCACAGAGTGCCCGCTCAGACTGAAGAGAGAGAGGTTTGTCAGCACTTTGTAGCTCAGCGTAAATCATCCAGAGGTGTTTCTGAGGAACTGTAAGTCTGTCGGACCTGCCATCTGAGCTCTGATGGATCACCTACACTCTCAGAGTATTTGGCACTGCTTCTCTCAGTTTTACCTTGCCTCTTGAACCAGTGATTGAATCTGTAATCTTACCTCTGATGTGGCTACAGCTACCAAGAGTAACAGCCTGATCCCTGCTCTTTTTTAGCACTAAAATGAGCACGTGCAGGTTTTTTTTTTAAACAAGGCACACCTGTCTACCTCAAAGCTGTGTACTAGACAAGTAAGCCTTTCAATTATTTTTCTTTTTTCTTTTTTACTGGTATGTTGTGTTGTGTCTTTTTTTTTTTGGCGGCACAGATGCACCAGCAAACAGACTGGTAAATAGTAGAAGCAGCATGGAGGCAAGTGAAAATTTTTTTTCATACCCGTTACTTAGTCAGTCACTCTTACAAACTCGGTGCAGACTAAAGGGGGATCTATACTTGAACGGCAGACCCTACGCCGTAGCCTATGCTATGCACGTGGCCTACACCGTTGTGAACATTTATACTTGTACAGTGGTGTGTCTGTGTTGCTCTGCAGTTACACCTCCAAAACAGTAGTCAGCGGCGGAGGTTTCTGTGAAGTACTGTTACATTTAGCTGATATAAAACACACCCATAACATGAACATGGCTTAATAGAGAGTATACAAATCAGCTTCACTATAACTCGCAGCATTCACAGACAAATACAGCCTAAGGCATTTTACACTGTATAAATTAGCCTTGCGGCTAGCGGACTTCTCTCTACTCATATGAAGCCAGTCACAAGAGCAATATTTAACAAAGGCAACATTACAAATTTTGGCACAAGGTTCACTTACAAAATACAACTTCTTCTAACCACATTTTCCAAACAAATATAAAATGCTAACATTATTCGCACAAGTCTATGGCATTTCCTCTCTTTAGAAAAAGATGAGTTACCTTAAAAGGACCCAAAGTTCACACAGTTCTGAACACCTCTCTCCTAGAGGAAAGTCCTGTGCTTTTTGACATATCTCAAGATTTCCCACACATCCATTTATTTGTGGCAGCCTGACACAATATCAGCATCTTGTGCTACATATTGATTTTGTATTTTTGGAGCTGGACCGTGCATTAAGTGTGCTGCTGAATTATATATATGCTGTTCAGTTATTCACTGCATCACACTCTCAAGGTGCAGAGCATATTCTGGGCACAGACGGAGCAGCAGAACGACAGTTAAAGTGAAACTTCATTGCGCTGGGTCTTAAAGTTTGCGTTCACCCGCCTCTGAAGGAGCTGCACCTCTCGTCCATTGATCTTACCTGATCTGATCAGCTCTGATTGGATTGACTGATCAATTATCAACCCCGCAACTAAAACTGTACAAACTGCTGCTGAGGAAAAATAAACTCATGAAGAGCTCCACCTGCGCTGCTTTCATGGACCCACAAAAACTTAAGAATTTAGAGTGTGATCACAGAATTATACCAGAATGATACAAAGGGACACACACACGCACAAAAGGGAAAGTTTGCTGAAATGCTTTCACTTCCTCTGACTACGTTCCTTTGAGAGAAGCTGTAGAGGAGGACTGAATGTCATCAGATGCACCAGATATGAGACAGATCTTTGCTCAAACTGATTCATTAAATCAGACAAAAAGAAGCATGTTTCATACTGAGAATACATTGACAACCGACTGGCTGACAAGTAGACAGCCTGACGAAAGCTATAAAAAGCACAACATTGTGAGGAATCGACTAACCTTGTCTTTTATAGATGGGGGGTTTCCTGTAGATGTTGGTTTCCTCAGAAGCTGAGAACAGAGACAACAGGAGAATGAGTGCGGGAAGTAAAGGGAAGAGGGAGAGGAGAGGAGTCTGGAATTCCTTATTCTTCCCGTCCCACCAATCTAGTTGTATACATTTACAGTCTCCTTAACCGTAAAGCTGACACCACGGGTAATAAACTGCTGTGGTGGAGACAGTGCCATGCATCCAGACGACCTGACTGACGTGCAGAGAGGCTGATTAATACAGATTCAGAGGCGTATTACTGGAAAGAGCAGCAGATGGCACAGGAATAAAGGAGAGGGAGGAGAGCAGTTAAAGGCTGGATGGAGAGGCAGAGGAAAAGATGAAGGGGAGAAGGGGGACAAACTTAAAAAAGGCAGGAGCATGTGGCCTCTTGTAGCTCTCATTTGGTGGAGCTTACTGTATAATCACTCAGCGCTGAGTGCTGGAGAAGCACCACACCAATACATTACAGTAAATTAAAAATAGTTTGTGTCATGAGCTGCAATAAATCAACAAATAAAGCAAAAAAACAAACACTCATGACTTCCAAATTCTGCACAGGGCATGCCACTAAACCTTCCAAAGTTAGAGGTTCGACTCCCAGTGGACCATCCATGCTAAATTTGTATGCATTCGTGATACTGTGAGGCACTTTGGATAAAAGCATCCACCAAATACATTTTGCTCCGTGTTGAAAAGCATGAAGGGAGTGCTGTCGCAGAGGCTGGCAAGGAATAACAGCCTTGAAAAAAAAAAAAAAAAACACGGAGAGAGGAAACATGCAGTGAGAGATGGGCTGAGGACAGGAGGAGGGAATGATGGAGGGAAACCAAACGCACAGCTTGCAGTGAAAAGTAAAGGCCTTTTAAAGTGAAGGGAACAAAGACAGAGTGAAGCATTCAGGGAAGAGAGGCATTAACTTGATAAAATGGAGGGATGATAGAGTGTTTAAATAAAATGAACTGGTATTAGTTGTTGGATTAAAGTGCCCATATGTTATACAAGAGCTCCAGATCAGTAAGATAAATCAGATACAGACAACCCTGCTGGAGTACAATGAAATAAGGATATGTTACATTTTTATGGATGGATAATTCATTTTATTCTCCTTAAGCTGAAACACATGGATGCCGCAGCACCAGCGCATCATATGATGCACATCAAGGGCCACCCTTAGAACCAATACGAAGCGTTGTGCTGCGGTGCATCAACAGAGAACCACACACCACTTTCACTAATAGATCTGTACTTTTCCCACTTTTGCATTAGCATAAAATCATGTGTGTATACCCACTACTTGAGCTTAATTTTAGAGCTGTGGATCGCCAGGCAATATATTTTCTCGTCATTGTCTCAAGAATGACAGGATTGTTGTGTTCTTGAACTCAACAGCTAGTCCCTCCTCATCCATTCTTTGACACACACAAGAAACAGCAACAGCAAGAGGTGAAGAGTCAAGCTGCCACGGGAGCTGGGATGCCAAAGCAGGAAGCAAGTGGGGAAAGAAATGTGTTTTTCAGGGGTGGGGAGGTTGGAAAAATGACAGTGGTGTGAAGTGTCCTGGGGCAGCACATTCACGAGTGTGTTGGGGTTGTACATAGAAAATACTGGGTGCAGCTGTTTCGGTGTCTTTTGGCCTTAAGGTGGTGTGGGAGACTTTTCAGCATCTAAAATCATATCACAATCATTTTCATTATGGATTATATCTCAATAAATATAACGCAAAAAGGGGAAAATACCAGCCACAGTTTCCCACAGTCTAAAGTCTTCGATTTGTTTTTCTTTTGTCATGTTTGCTTAAAAAATGACAGTGAATCAATTGTCAAAAATCATTTCTGTCAACAACTAACTTTTATAATAACGCTAATAAAAATGTCATATTACCATGGACAGGTTAAATGCTCACTGGGAATGAGGCTGTGTGTGTGTTAGGAGAGCAGCTTGTGTGGATCTGGGGTCAGGATGTGGGTCAGGGTCTTGGCTAGGATTTAAATACGTTTTATGATTCATGGTTCGATAGAGTCTGGACTCTAAAGATGTGTTAATGTTCGGAGGGTCGGTCACGTTGATGTGGCATGGGTAAACTCGGGTTAGTAAACAGGTCAGGGGTCAGCGTTGCGAATAACAGCCTACCTGGCACATGGAAATGCTTGGGGGCTTGGAAGGTGGTGGTGGTGGTGGGTGTGGCACACCTGGGCTCTGGCTGACTGTAATAGGGTGAACTCCTGCCACTCTCACTGCCTGCAGCCAGCGCAGCCAATCACAGTGAGAGAAACCAAAGCATGAGCAACAGAATGGCCCGCGTCCCCAAACAGACAGACAGATACACTAATAACCTAATGAATTACATGCATGTGAGGGTGTATGCATGTGTGTGTGTGTCAGGGGTGCTGCAGGGAATCCTGGGGCTCCAAACAGGACATGATCACTCGTCGCACCCACTCAAAGAGCTGCTACAGCTCTCAAGGTAGGGACCTCATATTTTCTGCATGCATATGTGTGTGTGAATTTGGTGGGCGTCTTCGCTTGAGTGGGCACATTACCGGGGAGATAATAATGCAGTGGGGAGCCTCCGTGGCGACTGTGTGCAGGAGAGTCAGTGAAGGCAGAGCTGGAGGAACGCCTCGTTCTAAGCTCCACACCGTCCAAGAGATCCTGGAGAGAGACAGGGAGGGAGACGGAGAGAGAAAGAGGCTGTCTTAGAGTAATGTGCTTTCATTTACTAAATGCAGTAAACTGGACGACACAAGGCTCTTTTCAAAACACAATTTTAATCATGTTGAGAGCAGTTTAATATTCTACACTGTGCATGTGCTGCAAGAAGTTCCCTTAGTGCACACATGCACACACACGCACACACACGGACAGGATATTTGGTCAGTGATGTGTGACCGGTTGTGAGGAAAGATTGCAGACAGCACACTGTTTCCCTTGGGTGACATAGCCCTTTAACTACAAAGTAGACCATACTTTAAAGGAACAGTTTAACCTCAGTAAGAAGATTGATAACACACATATCTGAAGGAGGACACCATTCCCTTTGTTAGCAAAATGACCAAAACACATCCCCTTTGTTAGCCTGCCTTGGAAGCTTACAGGCTATATTAACTGGTACTGAACTCATTAACTGGAATGTTTTAAATACTGGATGCATTGATTTGATTGATTTATTTTAATGTGAAATGTAAAAACACCCACAAGTTCTCTCTGCTGAATCACATTACCTCTGGTACAATGAGGTGCTACTTTAATCATTTCTAAACGGAGTGTAGTTGTTGTTTTATTTTACAGAGTGTATGTTTTTACCTGTTGCAGGGCCACATAAAGAGAGGAAAAAAGACCAGCCGAAAAACTAACAGTTCACCTCCTGCATAACTGTACACTTAATATGATACTGGAGCTGGCAGCTGGTGAGCTTAGCTTAGTTTAACGACTAGAAACACTGTACACCGTTACAACTCTACAGAATTAAGGTGTTAAATAGGCAACAGATAGCATCTTTTCCTAAATATACCATTATGAAAATAATGTGGGTTGCACAGGGTAGTGGCCACAGTAAAATCAGACTATCAGCGTTTACATAGGTTACTTAGTGGCTTTGCAGTCTTTGTAATAAGCTTCTGGCATCAGGGGCGAAATTTCGCGGAAAAAAATCTGCTTTACGGCAGGAAACGCGTCATGTATTGCGAAACTGGTCGGTCAGCCAATCAGGGACTGGAGCCGGTCCTTATGAGGAGTTGGGCATGAGATAGTTGAGTCAGGAGCACAATGGCAGACGGACAAAGTTTGGAGACAAGTGAAAAATGGCCTAGCAAAAGAAAAGGAGCTCCTCTGTCTGAGGAGGCAAAGAAGAGCAAAAAGGAGAGTGATAAAAGAAGAGGAAAAACAAGAGTAAACCTCAGTCAGGCGTTCAAGAGATGGAGGGAGCTCTGTGACCAAAGAGGCTTCAAAACCGATGTCCAGCTAGCTTTCTTTCTAATGGATTGGTAAGTAACACGGCTAAATGTTAGCTAGACGAGAGAGGACTGTACTGTACTGGCTGCTAGTTCATTCCTAGCTGGCCAGCATCGCAAATCGCCGCAACCAGGGAGCGGGTAGCGAGTGTTGGTCAGCTGACATCCTCGTTGCCATTCTACGGCAGCCCTCGGACAGTGATACCTCCACCGGCTCACTATACATTATCCCTTACGTGTCTACTGTTGATTGTACTGATACTGTGCATATTGGTATCATTTACTGTGAGTTGTTTGTACTGATACTGTGCATTCTGGTATAATTATTTGCATTACTATTTGTTTTTTCTTCAGATAAATCTGATAACTGTTGCTCGGTCTCTTTACTCATATATTTAGTGTCCACACACCTTCTCTTTCTACATATACACAGAGGTATACTGGTGGCTTTACAGCCTACATTTTATTGATTATCTCTGATACCCGCGGTCAATTTGGTCGTTGCGACAGTGCGAGCAACACCGCTGACGCTAGGTGGCGCCAAGCTAAAAAAACAAATCCTATCTGTTGCCTCTTTAGACAACAAGAGCTGTTGGAAATGTAAAACTGAAATAGGAACTTTCCTGCACTGTATATGGGAATGTAGTTTGGTCAGACCACTCTGGATTAGAGTATTAGAAAATTTAAGTTGTTGGTTTGGTTCATAAATCCCTTTAAAAACCTATCCAAGTGTGAATTTTCTGTTATTATTATGGGTCTAATAACTGTCTGTCGAGTTATCCTAAGATACTGGAAGACAACCAAGGCCCCGGAATTGAAAGAATGGGTTAATGCAGTGGTGGATATAGCATCTTATGAATGTATGCTCAGTAGAACAAATGGCGATCAGGAGAAAGAAGTATCCCCATGGGACCCACTATGAACGCATATCAATACAGAACATAAGCCTACATAATCATGATGTGACTATGGGACCCTGCAGAGTCCTGTACGAGGACATATTTGTGACATGTTATTGTTTGACAGTTTGTTTTCTTCTCTTTCCCTCCAGACTTATTTGTTATTTTTTTAATGTACTGGGGCCCACATTCATATTATAAAAATATGTGCCTTGTATTCATGTATGCACAGAAAATAATACATGTATGCCATTTACTGAGCCTTTAGAACAAATAAAAACTTGAATGAAATTGGAAAAAAAAAAGCTACCCTGTCCTGGTACAAAAAAATAACACTTTATAAGTTACAAGACATTATATCTCATTTAAAAAAAAAAAACATCTGCACCAAAATGGAAAGGTGTCTCTTCCCTTAAACGATGATCATTTTTCAGATTTGTGTCCTATCTTCCAGTCAGCCATTATTAGCAGTTCATTTCTATGAGAATCAGCCTGCAGAGATTTGAAACTTGCAGAAAATAAGGGATACACTGATCCAACTCTGTCTCTCCTGATACCAATACCTCACCTCAGGTTATCTGCTGGGCACTGATGCCACTCCTGTGCTTTCCAAAATGTTTACTTTATATACTTCAGGGTGCAGAAGTCCGGCTAAGGGGGGAAATATTTAATCATCACTCCCCAATATCTCACATGAACATATCTGCAGGGAGCGATAAGGCTGGAGTCTAGACTCTAACTAGGTTTTACTGTTGAAATAAACATTTTAAAATGTGAGTTGTCTGACTGAACTAATTCATGTGGATCTGTCACGTTTGGCCCATAACACGATAAACTTCTGTATCATCATCACAGTCTACGTGAAATGTTTACTTCCAATTATTAAATGATCACTCTGCATATATTAGTAGATGTTATTAATCTCTAAGTCCTTCATGAAGACTTTCACTGACATGGATCATACTGAGAGTGCTCCCCGCTCCTTGCAAATGCTAACACACAACATGTGAAGTACAGCTACTACTTCCGAGTAAAATATACCTCTGGAGTGAAAGTGTTGGGTGAAGTACTCACATGAGAGTATGGTGATAAGGAGCCCAGTGACTGGACGAGAGGGAGGAAAAAAAAAAAGTAATTTCGTCATATAAAGTTATCATAAATGAGAGTTATGGTCAATTTCCTTTTATCTGACGTTTGCGGCTAAAGCTGTAACTTTCATTATTGATTGTGTTTTTATGTGTGTATGAGTGTGTGTGTGTGTTTGTGTGTTTGTGTACCTGTCCACAGCTGTATCGCTCCAGAGTGTCATCTGAGAGGTGTGTGTGTGCATGGTCGGCCTGATAAGGGATGATGTCAGGCCTCTGGATGTCGTATATGGCTTTGACCCGGGGCAGAGCCGCCAGCTGCTTATAGTCCAAATCACCGTCAGCTTTAGACTGGTAGAGAGGAAGAGATAGGTAGACAGAGAGACAGAGAGACGGAGAGGAAATGGAAATTGAGTCATAAATAGAACTTTGGATGTAAATAGAAATTCAGATGGAAAGACACACACATACACAAGCAGGAAGCAAAACTGATGAACAGAGACATAAAAAAAGGTGTGATGAAAAACATAGACAGACAGTTGGTGGACAAACAGAGACGTACAGATAGACGGAAAACTAAGATAAGAAAACAAAAACAGTTTAAGACCAAAAAACGGTTTAAGACCAATCTTCAATGAGAAAAGCCAGACAAAATCAAAAAGGTTCTAAAGGTTTTAAGGTGTTTTAAGGACTCCCCCAGGGACAGACGGGTGGCAAGACGAACAGACAGACAAACAGACCAGAAAGGCTGCTCAGACACAGATAGGGTCGACAGACAGAGCTTTGAGGGACTCTTTGTGCTTCTGTCGCTGTCAGTCATATTTTGATTGAAGGCTGTGACAGTGACAGCTGAGGGCGTAACCACAAAATTGTTGGCGAAACTATGGCAACGGCGGCACTCACACAGATGAGCCGGTGAGGGGAGCCGAGGAGAGGAGAGGAGCCTGGAGGAGAAATGGACGCCGTCTCAGAGGTCCGTCTCAGCTAGTGGGACAGATGTAAGAGAGACACAGCAAGCCTGAGGTCAAAGTAAAGTTAGCTCAAATACAACATCCATCTAAGTAGATTTTAAAGAAGTAATAATAATAATAATAATAATAATGATAACACTTTTGTTAAATTATTTTTTTTTTGTGGGCAATTTGTGGGTCTACCCACAGTACCCACTAAGCTGCTGGGTGCTCCAACTTAATGCTAAAATAATGTGTATAATTGAGCATAAACAGGGATAACAAGTTGAGATGACTTAGTGAAAAGTAAAAACTTTGATTGAGACAACGAACCGAACCAGTCTCTGGCTTTAATAAAAGCGACTGGGGCCTAATAACTTACAACACTTAGCTTTGATTCATGAAGTCAGAAGTTCTGTGAATTTAAGTTCCTAAATTATGGAGCCATTTCCGAACCTTTACATATATGTGTTGAGTAAATGTTCAATCTAAGAACCCAGGAAAGGCGCTGGACTTTAAAGCCAATTTGACATAGTGGCCAAACTGTGGAATTAAAATGTCTGGGTCTGTCAAGTGACGCCATGGGGTCCAAAAAGAGTTTTCAAAGACTTTTTGAAGTCAGTGTGTTTAAATTTGACTTGTTTCACTATCAGAATTTGATCCATTGGGTCTGATTATCTTATGAAAGTCTAGAAAAGCCACAAGGTTAAATCTTTTTATGCCCATTTAAGTCAGTGGAATGAACTGGGCCCCACCTCCAACACTTTATCCAGTTCTCTTTATACATCTAAGGTTAATCTGTTTTACTAGGAAACAACAAGTACAACAAGAAAAATGACACTGTAACTACTTGTTGGCTCAACTTGATTTAAGATTGCTCACTATAAAAAAAAAATTTATCTACACAAAAATTAGTGTTGTGTGTGATTGAATTTCTTAAACTAAATAGCGGACCCTAAAGTTGCCTAAATACCTTTTTGCAGCCTTATTTATTTGAGTATATCCCTGAAACTGCTATAAATACCAGTATAACTTAGTAATGCTTATGACTGTTCCCATCCAGTGTCACTAAGGAGAATAATGTCACTCTCAGAACAATGTTAACAATAACAAAGAGATATAATGACCAATCATTCAAATAATGTTCATTATCTTAACTTAAACAAGCTGAGCAGTGCAAAAAAAAAGAAAAATAATGCAGTTTTTATTATGTTCATTTTTACATTTTGCATAATCTTTATATACAAAGAACGTAAAGAGATAAGGAGGAAAGCAGAAACAGCTTCCTCCTCTGTCCTAATGTGATGAACCCATATTCTGTTATTTGCATTTTCATGGTAGTGTATCTCTTGGCCCCAGCAGGACGCGGCCAAAGTGCCTTTTGAAAACACAGAAAGGCTCTTTGGACACGAATAAGACTAGTTATAAAATTCCTCCGTGACATAAATTGCACGTAGTCCTGTAAAATATATAAAAAGGGGTCCTAAGCACGATATCTTAGATAAAAGCAAGATAAAAAAAACAATATTACATTTATCTGGAGGGCAGCTTTGTTTAAGTTTCTTATAATGCAAAGAACAATGTAGCTTGTAAACCAAGAATGAGACATTTCAGACAGAGAGAGACTCAGAGAAGACAGGAACAGAAATAGAGAGCAATGGCAGAGGGTTGTGGGTATTTTGAGTATCGCTCACCCTCAGTTTTCTCTCCAGCCGAGCTGCTTCTTTACACATGGGGTGCCAAACCTCTGAACCTGCACACACACATACACATACGAGTACACACACACACACACACACACACACACACACACACACACACACACAATTTTAGCTCTGTCTATTTTGTTTACTGTGTGTGGGCAGCAGCCATACAGTTTTATGGGATCCTATGAAGAGTAGATCAGCCTTTCTCAAGTGCATCAACATCAATCAACAGCACACACGCAGGAGGCAGGGCATATGACTGTGGAGGCAGTTTGTCTGGTCTGAGGACAGACAATGTAAGTCTACTTGTCTCCCCACACAAATAAACAGAGGAAGATACAGACGAAGACAAAGAGAGTACTTAGGCACCATTACATGGATTGCAGTGAAACTTATTTCAGACATTCATGGCCCCCAGAAGATGAATCCCACCATCTCTGTTGATCCTCGCACTTTTTCTCTGCAGCCACAAAGAGTTTTTTTGTGATTTTGACTGTAATGTCTTACGCATTCATGTTCCCGTCAGGATTGTTGTTACAACTTTGACGATCCTTAACATTTCCTCTGGTGTAGGGCTGTTGCCATCACTGCAGTACTGCAATACCATGCTTTTGACAAGGCAATGGCAAGGGATGGTAAGTCACTACTGCTATGTCCATGTTTTTTTAACAGGAGTGCAATGTATTTACACTATACTGTACTACAAAAGTGCCAGCAGTGTGATGAGGCGGTGAGTGTCTTTCCTACTGCATGTTTGCCATTTTTTTCTGGTCTCTGAATGTTGAAAAATATTCAACTTTGAATAAAATGCTGCGCTTGTCACTGTCACTTTTTACCCAGATCACAGTGGAGGAGGGTCGGGACAAATACAACGAAGACCGGCTTGTCACACTGCTGCAGAACAATGGAGCAGAAATGATTACTCAACCAGCGGGTCTGTACTCTCTCCCTTCATGCTTCATCCTTCCCTTCATCCAGAGCAAGTTCTCTACCTTGTGCCGATATTTCTACTTGTGCGAATATTCTGTAGCATGGCAACCAGATGCAACCAAAGTGTCAACGGACAAAAAAAAAACATTTTCGTAACCGCTTATCCTTCTCAGGGTCACAGGGGGTAAATGGTGGTAACAACACATATCACACTGTTGAGCCACCCTTCATCACCGCAGGGGAAGTGTTTTCACTGTGACAATCCTGATCTAGCGCCATCATCAGGTTGAAACACTTTGGTCAATACTGTTACGACCAAATACCTGCAAAGCTAATGTCAATCCCATCAGCATCAGCTGTGCTTTCTGTTCAGTGCTAATTAGTAAATGTTAGCATGCTAACACACTAAGACTGTGATTATAGTAAACATGCCTGCTATGCGTCAGCATGTTAGCATTGTCCCTGGGAACATGTTAGCATGATGAAATTAGCATTTAGTCCAAAGCACAAGACAATAAATGACTCAAGTGAGAAATTTAGCCCAAATCATGAATCACTGTGTAAAAGAGACATGGAGCAAGAGAGAAAGAGACAGGAAGAGAAGTAGCATAAAATTACTGTATGTTGCCATCATTATTTCTTTTGTAAAATAGAAATGCACAGTTATTGCATACCCTGTGCACACATATGCTAAGCCCCCGCTTTGACAGCACTGTGCTTTAAAAAAACGTTTTTTGAATTGAACTGAACTGAACCATAACGAGATAGACAAGAAGAATAAAGCAGGCGGCCTGAGTGAGGAGAGAAGAAACAGGGAGGAGGAAATTTTACGATAGAGCCAGAGAGGAAAGAGGGAATGAATGAAGCTATGAGGTCGTATTCATAACAATAAACCACTAATGTCAGGATGTTGTATGCATGTGGAGCTGATAGTGATAATGACAGTTAATATATCCGCTCTGAACACAAACACACATACCCACACACACACACACACACACACTTTCTCAGTCCTCTGGGCAACGCAGAAACTGAATGGACTCAGTTAGCTGATCATGATTCTAATAAACAACTACTATCAACATCATAAATCTGACCCGTACTCACACACACACAAGCACAGACACACAGAGACTACAAAGACACACACACACACACACACACATACACACACACGCAACAACCACACATACTCTCACACACACCCACACACAAAATCAATACTGTAGACAGAAACCATGCGTGGTGATTCAGTGCACCCCCGTCCCACCCACGCTCCTCAACCCTGCTGCCGAACAGATGTATGGCCTTGGACTTGGGATCCTTTATCTCCTGGATGAGGAGAATCTAAATGGTGCAGAGGAAAGGAATTCAATCCAAAACAACAGCGCTGCATATCAGTTCTGAGGAAATTAGCTGCCGGAAATTTGTCACAAAATAATGATTCAAATGAAACTCCTGAGTCCTTCTCTGCATTTTCATTTAGCAGCCTCAGCTGTGTTTAGACAGACTCTTATTTTATTGCCTTTATGCAAAATGAGGTTAATCAGTGGACAAACCAGGCCTCTTTATCTGAAAGTGGTGATATTCAAAAGAAGGGATGAAGGCAGCCAGTGAAAGCAATATATATCGACATTTGTGCTTATATCATTTGAAATTCTAATGCTATAAAGCAGCAGATATTTAAATGACTAAGGAGTTTTGCTTTTTGCTGAATCATGCTGCCATGAGCAACAGCATCCACATCAGGCTAATGTTACCAGGCAGATATGTACTATGATTTCTTTTTTCTTCCTGATGTCTGTTGCCTGATGTCTTTACTGAGGGAGTAAGAATGAGGTAAAGGTGCACAAATGCACTTAAGCTACAGTCAGTTTCTACCTGACTCAACCTGAAACTGAAGTGATTGATCTACTAGCTGACCGAAAGAAAATTACCTGATAATCAACAATATCTGAATCATGTAAAAAGTAAAAATACATTTGTTGGTAACACTTTCTAAAATGGGAAAATGTGCTTGTTTTCTGTGTTTTATATCACAGCTTTGCTGAATATTGGAATCTTCCTGAATAACAGACCGTTGCTATGGATGCAGTTCTGATCATAGACACTTAGCGAAAGCAATAATATCAGATTTAAATCAATATATTGCATGAAATTATTGATTTTTATGTAACAAGTAAAACACATTGTAAAACAAGTGGGTCATTAATTTGAAAACCCAGAGAAGGTGATGCAGAACCCCTATGCGAAGCTTAGAATGAAATAGAGTCCATCTTGTAAAGTGATCACTCCAGCTGCAATACAACGACCCGCCCCTTCCCTACTTCCTATCCCCCTTTTTCCGGTCCCCTTGCTTGGACCACACTCATCTTCGAAATCAGCCTTTATTTTAATCTTAACTACATACCTGTAAAGTTTCAAAACTGCAGCTTACACTGTTGTGATGCTATAAATCCAGGTTGTTCACAAACTTTTCTAACGTTTTCATACGAAAAGCAATGCACCCAAATTCGTATATATCTCACGTATTTTGAAAGGCTGTGATCGTGTGACCAATGCACTGACGGCAATAAACAAGGAAGCAGTCCAGAGTCTTGTAAGGAGGCAGGTTGGACTGATGGATGGGTCACAAATACCTGGACTTTATCCCAGGGACTTTCCACTGGAGTCATATGTTCGAATGTGTGAACTTTGAGTCATTTAAAGTTATGTCCTCACCATGTTTCTATCCCTAAACCTAACCTCCATAACTTTACGCTAACTACGCAACTGTACGTTAAGGACGTGGCGTCATTCGTGGGGCGCAGATTCACAGGATATCATACAAACCATATGAGAATACATTGGTAGAACTTTCTACATTAGACAGACATATAACACCTGTTGAAGAAAAACTGCATCTATAGAAGTTCCCGCTACAACCGGTGTCCCCAGGACCACATTTCGCCATCACACGCAGAGACTCACAAGGTAAAAACAATACCAGCTGTGACCTTGTTGGGGCTGATAAAAATAAAATGATTTTAAGATATTAGTTTCACATTTTTACAATCAATTAGTGAAAAATGTATCAATGCTTACACCAATGAAGACTCACATTTTCAGGTGCAGTACTAAACCTGGAGGTGCAGAGCTTGAGAGTCAACATTAAAACCACCCAGGCAAGACCCACCATGACCTGCTGCCAATGTTAGGCCAACATCCTTGAGAACACAGTGGAGGCGTAACCATTATTCACACTGGAGGTTAAGTAACACAGACACACAAAGGTTTTCAGATGTTTGAACAATGCTGAATAATGAGAACACAACTGAGGGAACAATAAACACGGTTTCCATCCATCCATCCTCTTTAAAAGATCGCGCATTCATGATTAGTTCATAAAATACCTCTCCACCCCCCACTTCCAACACACACACACACACACACACACACACACACACACACACCAACATGCAAACACCACTTCTTATTCCAGACATGCATCATGAGATTGATTGGATGTATGTGCGCATGTCCTGTGTGTGCGTGTGTGTCGTAATTTAGTGTGTCTCACGAGGGTGATTGCTCAGCCCTCCTACATGTCTGAAGTCATCAAAAGGAGTGGATGTAACCTTGGGGCAGCTCACCAGAGCTCAGCACACACACACAAACACACACACACCTGCATTTGTATGCAGACGCAAATGTGCAAACATCTATACAAGCAGATAGACAGCATACCTGGGAAATGACACTTGCATGTATTTACAGGCGTAGATTAAGATGCACATATACACACTTCAGGTACAATATGCAAATGCTTAGTTTTACTGGTGGCTGAGAGCAGGTGAGCATCAGAATGTCAATGAGGCGAAACAGGAGGTGTCAACTTGTGTGGCGACTCTGGGACACTGAGCGTCAGCCACATGTTACGGTACAGTAGCTCCTCATTTAATCTGGAGTCAACTCAGTTCGGACAAATCATCTGTGTGTGTGTGCTATTTGAATTTCTGTTTCCATTTCCCCATTATCTTAAAAAAACATTTGTGCAGTTTAGAATTGCAGGGCTCTTATTTTCCAGTGCAGCCTGTTTGCACAACCATAACTCCTACAGTATGTTCGTCTGCAGCTGATTTGCATTGACATCATGTTGTCAAGGAAATACTGTTCATTTCTATTCAACATATCAGACGTGTTGATATTGTATTTATCTGCTAAATGCTCACAGCCAACATTTTTACTCCTACATTATAAAGTACAAGCACTTAAACTAAACTGTGGCTGGTGTGGTTAAAGGGACAGTTCAACCCAAAATCAAAAATTTATATTTTTCTTCTTACCTCTAATGCTATTTATCAGTCTACATTTTTTTGGTGTGAGTTGCCAAGTGTTGGAGGTATCAGCTCTAAAGACGTCTGCCTTCTCTTCAATATAATTGAACGAAATGGGACTCAGCTTGTGGTTCTTAAAGAGCCTAAAAGATACATTTGAAAATCTCGACATCAATGGTTCTTTTTGGAAATCATGACCTGGTTATTCAAGATAATCCACAGACCTTGTTGTGAGTGGTTTCATGTAGGAACTATTTTCTCTTGAGTGAACTACACCCATCAACCGTATCACAGAAGGCACAGAAGATGTCTAGGCATCTACTGCTAGCTCACCTCGCACCACTGAGCTGGCAAACATTACAGCTCAGTCGAAAAGGCCGCCATTAATGTATACATATTGCGGTGTCGCCAGAATGAGCCGCTCATCCATGAGTAGATGCACACTTCTATGGCCGATATCTCCAACACTCAGCAACTCACACAAAACAATCTACACAGATAAATAGCACTACAGGTAAGAAGAAAAATATGTATTTTTGATTTTTGGGGTGAACTATCCCTTTAAAGTTAAGGCTAGAAAAAAGTGTAGTCATGAATAAATAATAAAATGACGCTGTAGTAGTTCATTTATTCATTTTCTGTAACTGCTTATAAGATAAGATAAGATAAACTTTATTGTCCCAAGCGGGAAATTTGTTTTGGGCACATAGCTGCATAGCAGATACTGTGAGGGGTTGCGGAGGTGCTGGAGCCTATCCTAGCTGACATTAGCTGAGAGGCAGGGTACATCCCTGGACTGGTCACCAGACTATCACAGGGCTGACACATAGAGACAGACAACCATTTACACTCACATTCACACCTATGGGCAATTCAGAGTTACCAATTAACCTTAACTGCATGTCATTGGAGAAACCGGGGATTCTAAACCCCCCACTCTGGGTTTGAACCAGGAATCCACTTGCTGTGAGGCGACAATGCTGACCACTGCATCACTTTGCCACCCAATTACACGTAGTTCTGTATAAACACTAAGGCCAACATTACGGTTCATTTCCTCCTGAACATAATTGCTAATGCAAAACAGCTGCTTATCGGATTAATTTGTAGGACATGTGGTGGGTTAATTAAAAAAAATATTGAGCAAAAATGCATATAAATGCAAGTTTGTCCCACAGCCAAGGTTTGCCGGCGTCCTCATATCACCCCATTTGAATCCATGATTGAGCTTATTAACCTTAATTACCATTATCTAATTTGTAAAGCAGAAGCCCCTGATTCAATTTCAACCTCCGGCGAAGTCGGTTTCATTCAGATTAATTCTGTCAGGGGCAGCGCAGAGTAATGGACACAGCGGAGGCGAGGGTTGAGAGGTAATTGACTCCAACCTTTGTGTGTGTATCAAGGAAACACCGGCTGGGGGAAGGTGTGTGCATGTGTGTGTGTGCCTTTACCACTGAATGTGGTGAAGAGTGGTATATGTGAGATCAATAAGCTATATTACAGTGCTTTGTTGAAAGCAGTCATCTATCAGGTGACCGTATCCTACTGCGCTCTAACTCTTTGTCTCACACACATGCACACATGCACACACGTACACACACACACACACACACACACACACACACACACACACAAACAGATGCAGAAACACTCAGGCCATCTGGATACTTGCAGGGCTCAGCTAATTCAATAGACGCTACAAGTCTATTTTTATGCCTGTTAGCTGCACATGTGCAGAAGCCCCTTTCTATGGCCAACTATTTACTAAACTAAAAATCAAGTCTATTGGTTTTACATATATTGTACCATTTGTCTGGCTTGTCCCTCCTGCCCTTCCCTCTCCTTCCTCACCTGTGAGGTACATTTCCTCTCCTTCCAAGAACATCATGTGACAGCGAGCACACCTGGCACAGCTGGGGTGGTAGCGCTTCCCACCAGCCTGAAGGAGAAGGAAGGGAAACAGAAAAAAATAAGGCAGAGACAAGCAAAAGCAAATGACACAAATGTAGAAATGAGAACAGAGTGGTGATAAGAAACAGAGAAAAAGAATGAGGCATGAAGAAGGAGGAGGACCGCGATAAGAAATAGAGAGAGGAAAGGAATGATAGGGTAGAGGAGACGGGAGAGTGTTGCTTTGTTAGTTTTCCAAAGCTGCTTCGTCATCACTTGACACTTCAGTCATTTAAAGAGGGACAGCTGCGTTTTTTCGCAGCTTTTTATAGCACGTCACACACACACACACACACACACACACACACACACACACACACACACGTGCACACAAACCCACACTTTCCTTCACGAAGACAAGAAATATGCACACTCTCCCTCTTGTTCCCATCTGTCTGAGGCATACACAAAAATCCACGCACGGGAAGGTGCGCTCACCTCAAGTACTCTGCCGCTGATGTACCTGTTACAGCTGTCACACCTGATCCCAAACTGAGTGTGGTAGTCAGTCTCACAGTAAGGAATCCCATCCCTGCCGGGGACATAAAAACAGCAAGTTCTCACTTTGAATTTGGCTTCCTGTTCCACTATTATTTATCCTGTAACACGTTATTTTTGAATGCCTGAGTCAAGGTACATGAATCAGCTGGAGCAAAAATAAATATTTCTCATTGTGACTTCCAAGTATGAATATTTAAATGAATACTGTGGGTGTTATCTAGCTGATTCAAAGACTGACTTAATAATTGTCAGCTGTTGTCTTGCAAATAAAAATGAACTGATAACAGAGCTACTGGTGAACAAATCCTACTTTTCCATGACTTATGACACAATAAGAGTGCTCCAAATAGCTTTCTATTTTAACACCTGCTTTAAGCAAATTGGTGACAGTGCATTAGCTTCAGATATAAAAACCCACACACAAGCAACAGAGGATGTGGATAGCTTGAGAAAATCTTTGATATTAGCCCAAACATAACTACAGTAGAAGCAGCACATATGGGGGATCAAGCCACCTACTTGCTGATGTACTCTCCAGTGAGCGCACAGCCGCACGTTCTGCATTTAAAGCAACTGACGTGCCACTGTCTCTCCAGAGCGAGCAGAGACTGACCCTGTTTGATCTCCTCGCCGCAGCCTGCGCAGTCTACAGCAGAGGAGACACAGCAACGAGAAAACACACAAAGAATACAAGAGCAGCTTCAACATTTTGAACATTCATCATCCTTCCTCTCCGTCCTTTTCTCCCTGCTCTACCAACCTCTCTTCACTTCTCTCCTCCTTCCTCCTCATCCCTCTTTCCTGTCATCATCGTCACACTGTCTTTGCCAGATGGAGCTACCAGAACCAGGGTACAAGACTACCTGGAGCAGCAGGCCACCTTCTGTGTGTGTGTGTGTGGGTGTGTAGCTGCAGGGAATATGGCTATGTTTTGCAGCAGGTGGACAGTCGAACTCTTCTAGTGTTTTTTCACCTGTAGGGGAGCAAACAGGCTTACGTGCTGGGTGAATCACAAAGATGTAAGTAATTTTAGTTATGTATCAGTAGGCGACCTAAAATCATGCCGCAGATGATCCTTGCTACTAAATAGCCAGGAGGTGTGCATTATTTTTAGGTATTTGCACAGCTCAGCTTATTTCTGTCAGCTGATATCAAAGAATAAAGCTGCTATATTTTTCTCCAACAAACCATTCAAAGCTTTATTACTCCTCTGTGCTAGCGTCTAAACACTATTTAAAACAGATCAATGAGCCTCAGTGTTGCACTGGGTTACATGTTCCCTCATCACCATAAGCATGGACACTAGTTTATTTGGGCGACTCCTATATACACGGCCCTGCTGCTGTAAACACAGTCCTAAATGTGTATTATTCCACTGTTAGAAATAGTCCCCAACAAATATTTACTCCAGGAAAGTATTGAAAGACTAAAACATTGTTGGTTTTGGTCTTTTTGTGGGATTCATTGATACTAAGATCATTTTACAGCAACAACAGACTTTAAGGTTAAATGTTCAAGGGCTATTTATCTCAGCTGTTGCTTCCTTTTTTTGGAAATGGAAAATGACATCTTAGCAAAATCAGTTTGCTGATGAAGACCAACAGATAGTGTTGAGGACTCTCAGGGTGCTTTCACATCTGCCCCGTTTGGTTCGGTTTAATCGAACTCAAGTTCATTTGCCCCCTAAGTGTGGTTCATTTGGGCAGATATGAACACAGCAATTGCACTTGAATGTGCACCAAAACAACCGGACTGAGACCTTCTTGAAGAGGTGGTCTTGGTCCGGTTACAAACAAACTCTGGTGCGGTTTGTTTGTGGTGAGAACGTGTTCCGACCTGGATCTGAAACAACTGCAGTCACATGACACATTGTTTGGGTTAAACATGAGCATGTTACAGTCCTGGAGGATTATTAATGTGCACCTCCTCCTGTACTGCCTTAATATGCACATCCAGCACATCCAGTGCATCAAAACATTGTTTTCTAGTTGTAGCCGCGCCTCGTTTTCAAACTGTATGGGTTGACTAAAATGAACAATGACAGCAATATAGTCCACGATGAGCAGCGCTAAAATCAACCTGCGTAGTTGTCCCTCCATTGTGACATTTGAAAGTGTCACATATATCTTGCAAGTGTATTCTTCTACAACGTTTTGTTTACTTCCTGGATTATTCCCGCATGGAAATTCTGACCAATCAAGAGCAGCTTTCACGCGCAGGCATTTGATCTGGTCTGCTTGTAAATGCTGCTGTGAGAACACGAACCAACTCTACTTTGTAACAAAATGAGTCCCTGATTCAGACCAGAGCAAGACAACTCCAGGTCTGAAAGCACCCTGAGGCTACTTTAGTAAGTGGGCCTTTAAGAGATGAGATTATTGTCACACATAGTGTTAAAAATAAATGAACAATAAAGACATTTTGATTGCAGGACAGTAGCTATGGTGCCACAGATGCTTCAAAAATAACACTTTACTTTATGCAATATTTTTGGATAACTGCACAGCTTGTCATGTATTATCCCTGACAAATGTCACATTATGTTTTACAAAATGTGCAGTATAAGTCTGGTGCAGTCTGCATGCGTGTGTGCATATATTTGTGTGTGTTTGTTTCTTACAGCTTGGCCCGTGGACCTTGACGGGCTTGTCGCTTTTCAGAGTGTGTGAGCACTGCTGACACACACACTTCTTCCCACAGAAGGTCACCCTGTCTCCAATTGGGAACGGACCCCTGAGAACACACACACACACACACACACACACACACACACAGAAAATTTCTATTAAGCTATGCAAACATGGCATTGCAGAAATTTTACCTCTTGCAACATGCAGTTAAAGGGTCAGTTCAACCAAATGACAAAAACGTGTTATACCTCTCACCCCCTTGTTGTACAGTATCCATCTGTGCATCTGTTGACGAATACAACAGATACTGCTACCCTAACATATTGGCAACAAGTCCTTCAACCATACATTGTTTGTTCCTGCTGTCTGATATGACCCACAGGCGTGTTTCCTAAATTAGCACCCCTAATGGTCACAGTTGGTAATGTTGTGAAACAGTCACAGTTTGGTTAGGTTTAAGCAAAGATTATGGTTTGGGTTAAAATAAGTGAGCCCACATTTAGTAAGTAATATAAGTTATGTACATAAGTTATCTTACCATATGTAAAGAAAGTTAAACACAAAATAACCCAATGTTGATTTTGGCAGTCCCATGGGTCAAAGTCCTGTGTTTGTTTGACCCATCCACCCCAACCTCCTCCCTACATGGACTTAATTGGTCTTTATACTAACCAATCTAACTTCCTCCTTTGCTCTCATCATAATTAGGGCGGCCACTAGAGGATGCCACCTACAGCAAATGTAAATATGGATCATAATAAGCTGCTTGTACAAACGATCTATGGAGTTGCTTTAGGGACCATCTCCATTTTGGATGTGAACTGAACGGCATTTGTGGCTCTCACAGCACTAAAAACTACTGGTTGAAAAAATGAACAGCAATATTTTTTATCTTAACAGATTATATGGTTATATATTTTATTTTTTATGACAGAGAAGTAGTGACAATTAAAAATGTTGACTGTGAGGTGAGAAGTATTTCTGTAGTCTGACACCAGCTGGAGATTTCATTTTGTTCTCATTTGTACATGCAAAGTTAACCAGGATTTACTCCCACCACAATGAAAATAATACAAATGTTTACATTGTCTTTCAAATACCCCACTAAGATGTATAGTTACTCAGTGAAGCTTCAGTATCCAAAAAGATATGGGATTATATTTTAGGGTTCTTTTCCAAACAGTGAAACAGTGAATCGACCTGATCCCTCAGTTCCACACAACACTCTCCTCATCCCCTGATAGTATTTCGGTTTTGGTTACACCTACACATGCGCATTAGTTTTCAAAGAATATGCTTTAGGAGACAGGCCTAAAATATTAATACAGTAAGGCAATAAAGTATAAATCAAGACCTACAAGAAATGCCTTTTGGCCTGAGGGTTCAGCTGTAGCCACACAATGTGAGGGCGGAGGTCAGCACCTGCAATGCAGCCACAGCTGCATCAATTTTTTATCATTGTATACAAATCTGTATGCAGATCACAGCAGAGAGGTCCAAAACTCCTCTGGTAGAAAACAGGAAAACAGGATGATTAATGATAAAGTGGATGCTGCTCTTCTACAGTTGACTCAGAAACATTGCTAGTGAGAATCATGTATTTCAAAAGCCCATAAGTATTTTGTTTTTAATGTCTGTGTGAGCATTTTGTCATATATATATGAACATTTTCAACTGATCTGTCTAGTGAGAAGAGCGATTGAGAAGATTTCTAGCATATCAGCAAAACGTCTTCAAAGTATCTGACAAAAAATTCTTTGCTATGGTACAGCAACTGTTTTAAAAACAAATAGACTTTGCTATAGCTGGGCAGCATGGGAAAATATACACATAACAGTGACTACTGTAGAGTACCTTTTTTTCGATATCTGATTAGCTGCAGGAAAATCAAGTTACGTGTCAAACTGTCTAGTTGACGTCCCTCGCCTTGGAAGTCAGAATCAATACACTGCCCTGCTTCATATTATTCTAGTTGTCTGTCTTCTCCATGATAGAGTTTTGCACCCTGCACACATTCAGAGAGGTTGTTTTGGGAGTTCAGTCAACGCTTGGACAAAAAGTCATTTGAGAGACACATTTTTTATTGCAATACGCTGACACAGTCATTTTCAAAATGAATACGTTTCATACGCAATTTCAGTGCAGTGTGTTCCTATTCAGTAGAGTGGGTACTCACACACACACACACACACACACACACACACACACAAGTGGGACTCCAAAAACTCTCACTATAAGCGAACCAAAACCTAATGATCCATCTCTACATCTAATACACAGACTGACAGTTAGCTTTTATATATTTACTGTACTTCTCAGCAGTCACACTTCATTTACAGTCACTTTTATCACATTAACTCTGCTTTAAGTGGACTGAACTGAAGCCAAACTAGATTTACTTGATATATTATAACTAAAGTGAGACCAGCCAACTACAACAGACACCAAGCATATCTTCTGAAGTGTTTCATATTTACAATATCTTAAATTTTACGTGTTTGCTCTTGGTTGTCGTTTCTCATCAACTTCCTGCTACACTCTAATTATTGGTACTCCAAAAACAATCATACTAATACTACCTAAAAGGGCATGCGCTGATTTTATATAAAAATATTTATCATATAGTCTGTAAAAGTTGTAAAATGTCTGTTTATACTGAGTAAAGTAACCCATGTGGAGTTTGAAAGATGTGTGTGTTTATCAGGTGGGCGGGGTTGAATGAAAGATGCTCTCAAAGTTGCATTATGGGAAGTGTAGAATCCAGCGTCTTTAGGTTGTGACAATGGTTGTGTCCGAAATTATTCAGTTACTCACTATTCCCTACTAGGACTATTTAGTGAGCTCACTGGCTAAATGAAATAAACACTTTCAAAGAGTATTAATTTCCTCTGTTCTCACAGTCACAGTCAAAACGTGCCGGATCAATGTCGGCTGGAGAACCGTCCATAACGAATACCAACATGCATTTCTGAGATAAATACAAATGATTATATAATAGGTATATTTTCTTCGTGGAATTCCCACCAAGTCTTTCTTACCTTGTTCTCACAATTATTCAAATACTTACATTTGTACGGCAGCTTCCAATCCCCCTGCTCTCATCCAGCTGCCATTTCTCCTTTAGCATGCATGATTGTATATGGTGCTTAGTTAGTGGCAATCGGTTGCACACTATTTTCCATGATGCACTGTGGGATACTTGGAGTCCATTACATAAGGTAAAATAATTTCCACGACACATTCGTACAGCACTACAAAATGGCAAACTCACTATAGTGGACTAAATAGTGAGTTGTAAGTGATTTTGGACGCAGGGGTGACCCATATTAGTAATTAAAAATCACAATAGCTGCCTCGATTTTGATCTTTTATTTATTTATTCTTAAATCTGTCTCCTAGACTTCACGGAAGTGTGATAGGAACCAAGGCAACTGAAGAGGCCAGGGAAACAACATTAGTTTCATATTGACTTGTTGACTTAGCTAATGTTAGCCAACACATTAGCCATTACAGCAAGATAGAAGCAACACCTGTAAATGAGCAGCTGATGTATAGTTGTCTCTTTGCAAGGTGATTGACATGTTCTTATCTTTGTTGATAGGGTTAGTTTTAAAAGCGTTGTTATATAATTTTAAAGTATGTGTCCAAAACATGGTACTGCATTCACCTTTACTTTTTAAAACCAGGGTGATCACAGTTTGTGTGTGTACATGCACAGATATTGTATATTACTAATCTGATCTGTTCCTTATTTCTCATCCTTTCCCTTCTTTTTTTCAGTGAAGCACAAACCTGGCACACTGCAATAAACTTTGTTACTCTAAATTAGCTATATAACAAGCTTTAATGAGTGAAAACATTTCAATTACAACGTTGCTCACAGTGGGTTTTTTGTTTTTAGCACATTTTGAGATTCTGCAGTAGCTCTGGTGTGCACTGAATATTCAGTGAAACCACACACACACACACACACACACACACACAGGAATTGACTGTCCCATCATTGCATTTTAATTGTAAAGGGCCACCTGTGGTATGCAAGAAGTTGTGAACAGACTTGCAAAGTCATTATACCACAGTGTGTGGTGCTCTGTGAGAATTGCATTTGTTGTTGTTTTTGTAGTCACAAGTTAGGAATGAAGCTGAGCCAAGAGGATCCCTGAGGACACAACACATAGAGCTGTGGTGTTATAAAGGCGAGATACTTTAATTTCAAAACTCCTACTATTACTACTACTAAAACCACCCATACAATGCTTTTAATATATTGTAGTCTGATACTTCGGCTAAATATCTTTCATTATCAATTGATTCACAGTGGAGAAAAAAGGAAGTCTGAATGTGAGGAATGAAATGACATTAGTATGTCTGTGACAGTGGGCCTGTAAATGTCACACACACAAACACTTGTTTTTAAAAGCCATTGTGACATTACCCATTGGTTTGTGGAATGCAGCTTTGAAACTGGCATTACGGCCGTCGCCATTTTGATATTTTGGAGGCAGATGTGACCATATTTGGACAAGGGGGTGGAGGTGTGAAGGAGCAAGAGGTCGATTGGACTGAGAACCTGAGGACACCGCCGTGGTAGCGACCTGTCAATCAGAAGGTAGCCACGCCCTAAAGCACACCCTGCTTTATCATCTATTTTATTATAAATGGGACCATGATTTACCTGCAGATGCTGCAGACGAAGCAATGTGGATGGTATGTCCTCCCCAAGGCAGATACCACCTCCCCAGTGATGTACTGGTCACAGCTGTCACACTGGGTCCCGTAGAGCCGCTGGTAGTCCTCTGTACAGATGTACTCACCTGAGTGGTGGAAGAAACCCGAGTGCACCAGATCACAGCCACATACTGGAGAGACGGAGAGAAAGAATAAATCCGTTCACATCATTCCTCAGAAATACAAGGAGATAAAACTGTACTGTGTGAAGCAGCAGTGGTGATAGAAAGTCTTTTTTCACTACAGCAAAGAGTAGTAGCGTGCATGCATCATGTATTTCTTATTATAAACCATTTCATATCTTAATTAAATCACTACATATGATAAATACATCAATTGTACAGTGCTATAATTAAGAAACTCTGGTTGTCAGCCTGCTTTGACACGAACACCAGTGTTAATCCAATTATCTGAAGGTTTCACTCCAGCCAATATTCTGCACGCATGTGTGTGTGTGTGTGTGTGTGTGTGTGTGTGCGTGCGTGTTGGCCAAGCGGATGAGGCTGTTGAGAGTGCAATCTGTTGTTCTTCCTGGCCTCCAAAGGGTTAATACTGTAATCTGGTTTTGGGGATTAGACCAGTAGCCATCTAATCTGCTAATTTTTACAATATGCTATGGTTGTGTGTGCATATGAAAACATATATGAGATTATATGTGCCTGCATCTAAACCTGTTTTTGATAAATACTCTTATATATATCTACAGAGTGTTGCGTGATAGAGGCAAAGAGACACACTGTGTTTACTACATATACTGACAGTATGATGTATGGTTTTTATTTAGCAAATGCAAAGTCCTTCAGCCAAATGATTGCTTGTGGTGCAGCTGTGCTGAGGGTGATGAGGCTTCTGCTGAGCTGGTTGGTTAGACAGTTTAAAATGGAGCGGAATGATGATTTGCTCCAGCTATCAGGGAGGCAGAGAGCTTCCTCTTACCACCATTCAGTTGTGTTTTACAGATTCCGTAACGGCCATTCGGGGGCCACAACAAAGCCATATCCTCTTATAGTGCCACCAGTGTACAGATTTGTTTTTCATCCATGTCCCCGTAATGAGTGGAATCACTCATGCTGTCAGTGTGCCATAACCTGTGTGGTACAGGTCCAGCCACTGAAGGTATAAGCTGTATAATGACACAACCTGGATGTACTGTAAGTTAGACATTTGAAAGGCAGCCAACGGATCAACATATCTGACAGTGAATTGAATGTCTGGTCTCTAATTAAGCTAATGGCTCTAAACCCAGTGGAGTGAATGGATCTGATCTGATCCGAGCCAGTGTGTTAAGTGGCTCAGACGGAGAAAGGGAGAGCCAAAGAGAGAGACTGAAGAGCAAGACAAGCTGTCTAGCTACCTAATGTATGTGTCTATCAGAGCCAACCTGAGGACATAAGTAAAGCAACATTTAAGTAAACAGCATTCCTGTCAAGGTTTTCCTGATATCAGCATGGAGCCAAACCAGACCGTCCTCCCTAAAAACACATCCATAAAAGTCATCTGTGGAAGCAGCTTACTACACCTCATGTTTACGCTTATTGTAAAGTGGTGAGTACTAGTGCCTGTAGTAATTATGACGAGACATGGGAGCAAGCTGATGCAGTATAGAGCAATGCCTTTTTGTACAGATTAACTTGTCTCAAATTCTTCCCACTGTACAAAAATGAAGCAAAAATATCCCAGATACAGCTGCTGCCATCTTATACTGGTGACATAATTTGGAGCCAGAGTCTGCGCAGTAGCAATATCTGCAGTATCAAGTTTCTGCCAATACCCCTGTCTGACCAATTGAAAGCAGCGCAGCAGCACACTGATTGGCACACATAGCTGTCAATCATGGCGTCGAACCCCCTTTTTATAGCATCAAATAACCAGTAATAACCAAACATAACAGAAATATGAACACTTGAACATGCATTAGTGGGATAAGAAATCGACAATGACAGAAACTATCTTTGGGAAATACTTTTCTGATGTTTACTTTTTTGTTTTTAGTTTGGCCCATCATGTCCCATTCACTAACATAGAGGGGGCAGGGTTATTGACCTGTACTGCAGCCAGCCACCAGGGGGCGATTGAGATGTTTTAGCTTCACTTTATTATACAGTCTATGGTATAGAGCAGGAAGTTAGGGTGGGAAGGGTCAAACAAACACAGGACTTTCACCCAGGAGGCGGCTGTCCATGTCCTGTGTGACACCAAAAGTCAACGCTGATTTATATTTAGTAATGTATATATAATTAACATATGTAATGTTCTTAACTGTTGTTTAGCTATGAGGATGCCTTGAACCAAACACACAAACCATTTGGTTTCCATTTGGAGAGAACGGCTCTCATGAAGCCCAAAGACCATTGAGATATGTCATGGCTTTCATTTCCCTTTAAACGGCATAATTTTGTAACATTAAGTAGATATTAAGATGGTACTGCTGCTGTACTCACTGCACATTTTGTCACTGGAATGCCTGCAATTACATTACATCCTCTAATGGCTGATCATAAAAAATCATCATTATTGCCAAGAGCCTCATCCTTGTAAACAGCACAGGCAGATTATTGCACAGAGTTTAGTCAAGGCGAGTTTATCTGTATAGTACCTTTCAACAACAAGGTAATTCAACTTGCTTTACAGAGGATATAAAAGGCATTAAGACAAGATGTAAAAGAAACATAAAGAATTTTGTAATCGTGTTGATGTGGCTGTTTACATTTCAAACCAGCCTCATGGTTTTCTCCGCTTTCTTTTTCTCTGGTTTTGCTGAATTACTCCAAACAGGATGGAGCTCCTACACACTGCTCACTGTATTTAATCTGTAGTCCAAAGTCTTCTGCATGACATGATGGAGATGCTTTTGTACAGTAAATTTGTGTTTCTCCTCTCTGATCTTGTATTCTCATCATGGCAAAGCTGCTGTGGCGCAACTTTAAAATGCCAGCCTGACCTTTATCAGTCTGCTTGAGACTAAAGCTGTTCACAGCGGAAGCGTTACAGCTAACACACAGACATACTCTTCTGCATGTGCTGTACATACACACTGCCGATTAGTACACACACATGCATATGCCACATAATTTTGTTGTTGAGTAAAAAAAAAAAAAAACATGTACAACAAGTCAACATTTTTTTTACTATCCAGTGGGATTCAAAAGATGGAGCTTTGTGTTTCTCAGCTGTGACAACCTGATATATGCAAACCTGCACTCACATATAGATACACTCTTTATTCTCTGTTTCCCAGAGACACACACTTGAAGATGATAGCTGGCTCCATCTCTTCTTTTCTCACTTTGTTGATAGCATTCACACATTCATCACTGTCTAAATGGAAAGCTATTAAGATGTGGAGGCAAACAGGAAAGAGAGGGAGCTGCTGAGGCTTGGCTGCTCTCTGGAGGGACCTCTGGTTTATTTGGATTTTCAGACCTCAGGCCATTTTCAAAAACTGTCCTCACAGACCAAGATCCCTGCATGGACGGTTACACTGGTTGTGCTGACCAAATGTTAACGACATTCCCACCAGCTTCAGCTGTATTTTTGTGCTGAGCAGCAAATGCTAGCATATTAACACGCCACATATAGATGGCAAACATGGTAAACATAATTCCTGATAAAGATCAGGACATAATAGCGTTGTCATTGTGAGCATATTTGCATGCTGATGTCAGCATTTTGCTCAAAGCACAGCTGTGCAAGACTCTGCTGTCAGTGCATCTTTATTATTGACATTAACCTTTTTCAGGTGTCAGTAATGAAACTTTGCTCCTTAAAGATGAACAAATAGCAGAGCTCAGCAGATACCATGCACAGGGATTTTTCTTTAAAACAGAAATTTAACTGATTTTCCCTAAGTGTCACAGGATATTTTTATTATTCCCACATGCACTACTGCAAAAAGACATATTTGTTAACAGAACCTAATCATGAAGTAGATTAAGTACAGAAAGGCCAACAATATGTGCATGATGAGCATGAGGTCAAACTCAAATTCCTCTCTACACCATTCAACCTGTTATGGATTACATAAAAAAAACAGTATGGAAGCGCATTGCATTCACAAAAATTCACAAAAAAAAAAAAAAAAGATATCGCATAATTACAAAAAAAAAGAAGATCTCCTAATTACAAGATCAGAATCTTCTTATGAGAAACATTAAGCCTGGTTATTAATCTTCACTAACCGAGGGTATAAGATAAGACAGTGGACAATGATGGTGCTGTTGCATTTAACCAGCTTTTATTTCCTTCTCCAAGTCTTAGGGCTGCTGTGAAACTGCACCTACTTAGGGCAACAAAAGGTTTGTCTTGGGTGTGTCGGTACAATAGACAAACAAGAAAGGACAGTAGAGGAGATACCTGCACTGCACACCAATGTAACTGGGCTAGAAAACAAGTAAAAGGTCCACAAGCTGAGGTCAATGCAAAAATAATCAATTTATTCAAGACATAGGTTCAAAAAACATAATAAAAAGCGACTAAAAACAGCAGCAAATGTTTCAGTCCTTAACTATCATCAGCACTACTGACATGAGTGCTTCACAGAACAGATAGACACAGACAGATTCAAACCAGGTGGTGCCACTAATTAGATGAGAGCAACTCTGAGGAGCAGAAGCCTGACTACCAAATCACAATGACCTGTCCTATGAGTACTATACTATTCACAACATCCTCAAACACCAATGTATGATAGCAGAACATAATAATATACAAATGTACAAAAAGACACAACTATACACCAAGTAAAAGGAAAGAAAGGACAAAATATGACAAAGCATGTCTAGCAGGGGTCATGCTTGTACTTGTACTTAATATTTTTGTTGTATGTTTTTATTCTGTGAAGCACTTTGTGCTGCATTTTTAATGCATGAAAAGTGCTATACAAATAAAGTTTGATTTGATTTGCAGATGATTATAAAAAAGCGGGACAAATTATGTTGTTTCATTCAGGCCTGAAGGCTGTTCAATTTTAAGAGGAAAGATCCATCTACTTTCACACTGCAGGAGTTCTGTTTCCAGATCTGTATGTCTGCAGTCAGGGTTAACTGCATCAATGCCACAGAAACTGGGTGCAGTAGCTGGATGTTTGGCCTCCTTGAAGTGTCTCACTACAGGGGATTTTGAATCCGCTCTA